AAAAAAAAAAAAGATTTATAGACTTGGAAACCCTGGGGCAGTTCTATTCTGTTCTGTAGGGTCACTATGGGTCAGAATCAACTCAACAGCAGTGGGTTTTGGTTTTTTTTTTAATCTCAACAGAAGCAGACTGCCACATCTTTCTCCCATGGAGCAGCTGGTGGGTTGGAACCACCAGCCTTTCGGTTAACAGTCAAGCTCGTTAACCACTGTGCCACCAAGGCTGCCTCGGCTTCCCCCAAATGAAGTCAAATTCTCTGGGTTGTCTTTGAACTCATGCAGTTGTTTGTATGTCAGATGTCTTCACATTTTTCTAATTTATTTTTCTTGTCTGGGGGGTTTTGTTTGTTTGTTTTGTTGTAATTCAGTCTCCCTGTTAGTGGAGTAGGCTTGGTTGGCAGCATTGCTGTTTGCTGACTGTCTTTTCTTCTCTCTAGGAGTCAGAGTTGGCAGAGGTGCTGTGGCTAGAAGAGCAGCTAGTGAACACTTTTCTTGCTATTTACCTGAAGCTGGAGTGTGAGGACTAAAGCCCTGGCGGCTTTAAGATAAGATGAAGACAGTGCTCATGGTTGCAGAAAAGCCATCTTTGGCCCAGTCCATTGCCAAAATCCTCTCTCGAGGTAGGCAGACCAACCCCGTTATATTGTTGGCTCAATGTGACCCCATGCACAGCAGAACTAAATGCTGCCCGGTCCTGTGCCCACGATCAGTTGCAGATCGGACTGTTGTGATCCATACAGTTTTTGTTGGCTAATTTTTAGAAGCAGATCACCAGGCCTTTCTTCCTAGTCCATCTCAGCCTAGAAGCACTGCTGAAACCTGTTCAGTATCACAGCAACACACAAGCCTCCACTGACAGACGGCTGGTGGCTACACATGCGGTGCATTGGCCAAAGTTGAAGCCAGGTTTCCCACATGGAAGGTGGGAATTCTACCGCTGCACCACCACCGCTCTCAGACCCACCCCAGCCTGTACTTAGGGTTTTGGTCTGTAAGCCAGGTCATTCATACTTCACAGTATTTCTTTCTTTTTCCAAAGTGCAATTCCACTGCTAGGGCAGATTCAGTGCAGGTCAGCAGATGCTAGTAAGGCTCCTTGATATGAGTCACTGTGGGAGGCACTTCCTGCCTCAGGCCTGTGGCCTGTCAAGCACATGCCAGGGCTAGGTTCCTGAGGGAACAGGCCCAGCTCACAGTGTAGCGGAGGTGCAGACTGGTCACTGTGAGTGGGCTGGGCCACAAACCACAGAAACCAACCTGGACAGACTGAGGCAGAAAAGGAAGTTATGGAGGAAGAAGATACGGCCCAGGCTCCACCCCCATCTGAATCTGACAAGGCCAGTGCCACTGTTACCGTCACCTCTGGGCACACGCCACTGTCCCCTGGACTCTTGACTCTGCTACGGCTGCAGCCACTAACCCTCACAGCCCCTGCACTTTTATACCACTCAGGAGGAGGCGACGGGCCATGCCTTGACCTCTTGCATTCCTGGACCCCGGGGAGCTGGGAGAGCATGGCTGCTCCTCTCCCCGCTCCTTGGCACTGGGGTACTTGATAGCATCCTATATCCCATTCTATTTTGGACTTCCCTGCAAACAGGAAGGGTATTTGGGTGCTGGGTACCAGAAATGACAAGCATCTGCCTTGCCCTCACCTTGGTCCAATGGGTGGAAGAAAGGGCCCCAGTACAGAAGTTGGGGTCCAAGAGGGGAGAGGAGATGGGGCATGAGATCCAGTCCCCAGAGCAGACACCATGGGACTTGATAACCAGTAGGTCCTTGGTAACCTCCCAGTGAAGGTTGAGTGAAGGGAGCAGAATGGAATCAAGAGTGAAAAGAGCAATGAAGAGAGAGCAAGTGTCTGCTCTTTTGCAAAAGCTGGGGGCTGCTTGCTCCTAGCCCACCTGGAGTGCTGCACGGTGAACCAAGCAGGAGGTCAGCGGCCGCTCTGGGTCAGGAGGACTGACCCGCCAGAGGCAGGCTGGTCTGGGCTGCTGCAGTGTCCACAGCTCAGCTGGGGCCGATTCACTGTGAGCTTCTTCTCCCCAGGGAGCATGTCTTCACACAAAGGGCTGAATGGAGCCTGCTCAGTCCACGAGTATACGGGGACCTTCGCTGGCCAGCCAGTCCACTTCAAGATGACGTCTGTCTGTGGTCACGTGATGACCCTGGATTTCCTAGGTGAGTCCCCTCCCCCCTCTCCATCCCTGAGGGAGCCCTGCATGCTGCTCCCTGGGTGTCTTGGGGAAGCCAGGGGAGAGTTCGGGGTAGAGAGGTCTATCCAGAGCCATGAGTTCCAAGGCTGTCAGGTCACAGAGCAGGGATTCAGGGTCCCTGGGTGAGACACCCTGAACCTAGGCACCCGAGGTCCCCATCCCCACTGTACCCCTCCATCACTGCATGGACCCATGCATGCCTTCCTGTAGAGATACAGGCGGTGGCGCCCACCTCAGGAGGGGCCCGTCCTGTGCAGGCATTCAGGGGAGGGCCGTTCTCCTGCTGAGCGTGGCCATCGTCGTATCCTTAATCACTCATTTCCTTGGGAGGGCCAGGCTAGTGGTTCCTGAGTCTAGAGGAAGAGCCCTTGGTTGACAAGCATATGCCCTGGGCTCCAGCTCCCACTCTGCCAGCTCTTGCCTGGGGTCAGGGTCCAATGACTGGACCTCTGCAAATTTCCATTTCTAAAGAGGAAGAAAAACAGAATTTTTTTTTTTAATTTTTTTGGCTTGAACAAACAAAAATTTATTTGCTCACAGTTTAGGAGACTAGAAGTTTGAATTCAGAGTGCCAGCTACTGGGGAAGGCTTTCTTTCTCCGTCGGCTCTGGGGAAAGGTCCTTGACTCTTCACCTTCTGTTTTCTGGTTCCTCGGAGTTCTCCATGTGGCCTGGCACCTATCTTCCCCCCATCTCTGCTTGCTTAGTCTGCTCCTTTTATATCTTGTGAGAGATTCAACTCAAAACACACCTTATACTAATTCTGCCTCATTAACATAACAAGACAAACCATTGGGATTATAAACACAGGTATAGAGGTTAGGATTTACAACACATATTTTAGAGGGACACAATTCAATCTACAACACAGTGTCTATAGATCTTTTCTCTTGGCAAGTTGAAACTTCCATTTCTTGTGTGTGGATGCCATCGACTTCCCAGGGTTGGTTGAGGGTTTGGTGTGAGGGGAAGGTAGTGTGCTCAGCATAGGGCCTGGTGCACAGGAAGGCCTTGGTAGTTGTTCTTGCTGCTCAGCGATGACAGCAGTGACAGTTGTGTGGCCAAGTGTTGGGACCCTGAATTGTAGCACCAGCTGGCAAGTGGGAAGCCAGAATTTAAACTTGGCTCCATCCTCCTCCATTGTCCTGAGCAACAAGAAACAGGGCCTAAAAAGAAAGCTAGAGGGCTGAGAAAGCAGGAGCCTGGCGTTACATGCAGAAGTAGCTGGCTGTGAGGCCTGAAGAGTTTGATCCTCCATGGGGTCGACTGAGTGCCTGCTGTGGGCTGGGCCCAGTGTTGATGGACTAAAGAGTTACAGGAAATCCAGGTTGGAAGAGAGGATACAGGCATGGATGGTGTGATTAGGTGCTCTAGCAAAGGAAGCCAGCCTGAGAGGTGATGCTTCCAGCCACAGGGAAAGTTCCAGAAACAAATTGCAAGTAGCAGCCCCTGCCAGGAGCATGCTTGGCTCCTGGGATGGCTGTGACGTGCAGTGCCAGCCCAGCAGTGGAACAGAAGGAAGGTACGGACTTCCTGAGCTCAGGTCCTGGCTCTGCCTCCAACCATCTGGGCAACCTCAGGCCCATCACTCTCCCAGCCTCCCTGTCCTTGTTTGTGAAACGAAAACACCACCACCCTCTTCCTGGGCTTTTGACAATGTGAAGTGAAGCCTGAGTAAGTTGTGTGACGTGTGACTCAGATGTCACTTTGGCTCTGCTTGCAGGAAAGTACAACAAGTGGGACAAAGTGGACCCCGCCGAGCTGTTCAGCCAAGCGCCGACAGAGAAGAAGGAAGCCAACCCCAAGCTGAACATTGTGAAGTTCCTGCAGGTGTGTGGGGCAGAGCCAGGGGACAGGTACACCAGGGGGGCAGTGAGGGGAAATGTCCCTGCCCACCTTCACTTGGGTACAACAGTCCATGAGTCCTTCTCCCACCTTAGGACCAGTTCCAGTTGCCATCGAGTCAACTCTAACTCATAGCAACCCCAGGTGTGTCAGAGTGGAGCTGTGCTCCATAGTTTTTCCATAGCTGAGTATTTGGAAGTAGATCGCCAGGCCTTTCTTCTAACACACCTCTGGGTGGACTCGAACTTCATTCTTTTGGTTAGCAGCTGAGTGTGTTAACATTTGCACCACCCAGGGACTCCCCAACTTAGACAGGGAGCCCCTCTTCCAGCAGCCCCAGGCGGCTTCTCAGCGCTTTCTGTCAGTGCCCTCTGCTGGCCTGTGAGTTCCTTTCCAGGCCTGCTCCTCTGCATATCACCATCGGGGACCTGGTAGCAGTGTCACCCCGTTTTGGAGAGCAGGAATTCCACTTTAAGATAGAATTTGTTTGTTTTCTAATTTTAAAACAAACGCGTGCTTATTGTGTAAAATTGGAAAAACAGGTAAAGTAGAAAGAAGAGCTATCCATCATCACACGGCCCAAGACGAGCACTGTTAGCATTGAAGGTCAGTTCATTTCAGCCCCTTTTCTGTGTAGTGTATTTCAGGATTAAGATCATATTGCACAGTTTTTTGTGTTTGTTTTTTTTTTAATCTAAAACACAGCAGTTCTGAACTCAATTCATTCTGAGTGAAGTAGCCAGCCCAGCTGCAGCCAGCACTCTGCTCAGCCTGGAGCCTGCACTGGGCACACCAGTTGTTACCAGTTGCCGTTGAGTCGACCTCAACTCACAGCCACCCCACATGTGTCAGAGTAGAACTGTGCTCCATAGGATTTTCAATGGCTGATATTTCAGAAGTAGATTGCCAGGCCTTTCTTCTGAGGTGCCTCTGGGTGGACTTGAACCTCCAACCTTTCTGTTAGCAGCTAAGCATGTTAACTGTGTGCACCTCCCAGAGGGCATAGTCCTCCTAATGAGGCCTGGGGCCATGGTCTGCTGTCTGTCCCAGGTGGGGCCCAGGCTGCCAGCTGGCATTGCTCAGGTGTGGGCATGAGGGACATGTCACACACTGACAGTGTGCTTTGTGCAGGTGGAGGCCCGGGGCTGTGACTACATCGTGCTGTGGCTGGACTGTGATAAAGAGGGTGAGAACATCTGCTTTGAGGTGAGTGCAGCGTCCATGTTCATCCTTACGTTGAAGCCTTTCTGTCACCTGCCCCCAACTGACTCTTGAGGTCACATCATTCCTGTGGCCACAGTAGGGAATAAACCATGTTGGTGTGAAAATGCCTCTTCTCTCCTTTGTTCTGGAAGTCCTGTAGACTCTAATATGCAAGGACTTGGCTGGCATTGATTAAGTGTCATTTCACTCATAAAACATTATATGGGTGAGTGTAGAAGGGGCAGATATGTTCTAGGCTGACGCAGGAGGGTTTCAGAATGGGGCTGTCTTGAGAAAAGGGTTGGTTTTCAGAGCCCCAGGCCCAGCATGACACCTCTCCGTTGTGTTCCCCTGATGCTGATGAGCACCGGTTTCCTTCAGCATGCCTCACCTTTCTCACTTCCTGCCTTCCCTCCTCTATTCTAGCATCCCTCCCTAGGGAGTCCTCCCTGCAGGGAAGCAGGAGCATCACTGTGAGGGCCCCTGCCTGTGCTTGCTGGCTGTGGTGCCATGCCCTGGGCCTTGACTGTGGTCTCATCACCTGGTGCCCCTCAGACGCCACCTCCTTACGGTGACAACCATGGCTGTGTGCCCCCACCCATACAGGGCTGGCACACACTCACGTAGGGCTGGCATGCCTTCACCTGCTCACACAGGGCTGGCACACCCTTACACATTGACACAGGGCTGACACACACTCACACAGGGCTGGCACACCCTTACACACTCACGGGGCTGGCACGCCCTCACACAGGGCTGGCACACGCTCACACGGGGCTGGCATGTCCTCACACGGTCACACAGGCCTTGCACGCCCTCACATGCTCACATGGGGCTGGCAGGCCCTCACATGCTCACACAGGCCTTGCATGCCCTCACATGCTCACACAGGGCTGGCACTCTCACACACTCACACAGGGCTGGCACACCTTTGGACTCAGCAAGTGATCATTGAACAGAAAGAGGCCATCACACCTCCAGGGGGCAGGGACTTCAGGGTGCCCCACTTCCAGGGGTGCACCCTTGGCAAACGTGTTCCCACTTGGCCCCATCCCGCTCGCCCCCACCCCAGTGCCCTGCAGGATGACCCCTCCTTGGAGCCTCTGCACTCAGCATGGACAGTAAGGGCAGCTCGCAGGCCTTTCTCCCCAGAAGAGGCCACTTCTTACCATAAGGAAGCTGCTTGGTCAGGTACCCCCGGCAACACCCCTCCCACCACCTGGCCACCTTAGTGACTCAGCTCTGGGACCCCGCAGGCTAGCAGCAGCATCCATCAGCTCCTCTGAGTCCTCATCCACAGCCATCTGCTTCAGCCCTGAGCTGCCAGTTCCCACCCCCCATCTCTCTTCCTCCTCATTCTCTTTTCTTTCCTTGTCTTGTTCCAGTCCCTTACAAGCTGCCCTCCCCTCCGAGAGCGCCCCCTTCTAGAAGGCAGGGAAATGGGCCAGGGTGTCCCTGGCAGCAGCATCTCCTGGTTTGGTGGGAAGAAATGCAGGAGAGGAGAGAGGGCCACAGCTCGAGGGACAGGAGGACAAAGGGACGTTTGAACGAGTCAGTGGGCGGAAGGAAAGGAAGCCATGTGTGGGAGGTGCTGTGGAGAGATGAGGCTCCTGGAAAAGCGGGTGAGGAGGAGGTCTGCAGGGTGGGGCCAGGGCCACAAACGGTGGAGGGCTCCCCCTGTACAGGAGTCGCCTCATGGCTGGAGAGAGGGAGCGGGAGGCAGACGGTTGCTGCCGACGTAGAACAATGAAGAGTGGTCCCCAACAGGTCCTCGACGCTGTGCTGCCTGTCATGAATAAGGCCCACGGTGGTGAGAAGACGGTGTTCCGGGCCAGGTTCAGCTCCATCACAGACACTGACATCTGCAATGCCATGGCCCGCCTGGGTGAGCCCGACCACAACGAGGCACTCTCAGTGGACGCCCGCCAGGAGCTGGACCTGCGCATCGGCTGCGCTTTCACCAGGTGGGTACGCCGGCTGCCCTCACCCACCCCAGCCTAAAGGATACCTGTGTGCTTTGGTGCCACACCCCCAGCTAGAATGAGCCCTCTGCTCTTCGGTGCCCCACCCCCAGCTGGATCTGTGCCCTGTGTACCCCTGCCTGCTAGCCAGAGCTGTGCCCTGTGCATCCCCACCCCACCCCCCAGCCGGAGCTGTGCCCTGTGCTTCCCTACCCCCCTCAGCCGGAGCTGTGCCCTGTGCGCCCCTGCCCTCCAGCCAGAGCTGTGCCTGTGCATCCCCACCCCACCCCCCAGCCGGAGCTGTGCCCTGTGCTTCCCTACCCACCTCAGCTGGAGCTGTGCCCTATGCTTCCCTACCCCCCTCAGCCGGAGCTGTGCCCTGTGCGTCCCTACCCCCCCACCAGCCAGAGCTGTGCATCCTCACACCACCCCCAGCCGGAGCTGTGCCCTGTGGGCCCCTGCCTCCTAGCTGCAGCTGTTTCCTGTGCATCCCCACCACACAGCCAAGGCTGTGTTCTGTATGTCGCCACCCACACTCCACCCCAGCCAGAGCTGTGCCCTGTGCATCCTCCCTGCAAGCCAGAGCTGTGCCCTGTGTGTCCCCACCCCCACCCCAGCCAAGGATGTGCCCTGTGTGTCCCCACTCCCTTCAGCCAGAGCTGTGCCCTGTGCGTCGGCCCCCCACAGCCAGAGCTGTGCCCTGTGCATCCCCCACCCACCCCCCAGCCGGAGCTGTGCCTTGTGGACCTCTGCCTCCCCCACAGCTGGAACTGTGCCCTATGCTCCCCTGCCTCCTAGCCGCAGCTGTGCCCTGTGCATCCCCACCCCCGCAGCTGGAGCTATGCCCTGTGCACCCCTGCCTTCCAGCTGGAGCTGTGAGTCCACCTCCCCGCGGAGCCAGAGCTGTCCCCCGTACATTCCCGCCCTCCCCCCACGCGGAGCTGTGCCGTCTATGGTCCCTGGGCTTCTAAGAGCCTCAGATCAGCAACTGTGTACTAGGGACAATTTTCAACATTTTAAAAACCCTAAAGAAGGTTGTATATTTAGCTGAAATAATATCGCATAGGTGAGGGAGTAGGGGGGTGAAAAGTAATAAAAGGGGTCCCTGGACCCTTTTATTAATGATAGGAACCTCTGCCCTTCTCTCACTTTCTCTGACACGTACCTGTGCACATGCAGTGGCTCCTCTCTGCCCAGATTCTGCCTGTCTTCTCTGGAGGCCACTCAGTTTCTGGTTGCCTCTGATGCCGTCTTCTAAGCAGGAAGTGGCCGTCGCCTGCCTCCTCCCTGTGCCCACAGTACCAAGCCTGGACTCATACCAGCTTGAATGGCAACATCTCAGTAAATGCATGACCAGGTGTCTCCCCCACCTCTTCTTCTAGGTTCCAGACTAAATACTTCCAGGGGAAATATGGGGACTTAGACAGCTCTCTCATCTCCTTCGGGCCGTGTCAAACTCCCACCCTGGGGTTCTGCGTGGAGAGACACGATAAAATCCAGTCCTTCAAGCCGGAGACCTACTGGGTGCTGCAGGCCAAGGTTTGCCTTCTGTTCCCTCTTGGTGCCAGGCTCTCCAGGTTTGGAGTTTGGGTTCTGAGAGTCTTTCTTCACCAGCAGTATCATAATGTAATTATATCATAAAAATATCTACTGATGTTTATCAAGCTCCTTTGTGTACTAAGTACTTTACATGCATTATCTCATTTAATCCTCAAAGTAATATCCTCATTTCATAGCTGGAAAAACCGAGGGCTAGAGAGGTTGTAACTTGCCCACGTAGATGGCAGAGCCAAGATTTGAGTCCAGCTCATTCGGTCAACATGACACAGAGCTGCCCCACAGCTACATGACAGGCATTGTGAGTACTGTCCCCATGGCTGGTGCAGCCTCCCTGGCCCAGGAGATGGGGAACCCCAGGCTTCCCTCCTCTGGCCCCGTGCTCCATTGCCTGCTGTCCCGGATCCACGTGTGGGCCTGGTGCCCAGCGCAGAGCAGACTCAGACATCACAGACTGACATTGCCCCAACCTGTTCTCAAGCCCTCAAAAAGAAGTAGCATCAGAGCAGCAGCCAGCAGGCATGTGCTCAGAGCTGTGCTGGTGCTCGGGGATGCACTGCAGGCCCTGCCACATGGCAGCGCATGTTGGTTGCTGCTACAGGAGCACAGTGGGACATAGTGGACAGGAGTTCATAACCACAGTGAAGCTAAGTGTCTGCATAATGAATGGAGGGTTGAGGCCCGTGGATCGCCACCTTCTCAAGTGTGAGGGCCCTTTGGTCTTTAGAAGTGTTTTTTTGTCTCCACATGGTAGTAGCTATATTTTTAATATCTGGTGATTGATGTGATACTTAAAGAAGAAAGTACCGTGAGGTCACCAGCACTTTAAGGCAATTGTGCATTTCACCACCACGGCAGCGTCCACCGCTGCTTGGAACGTAGCACATGTGCAAGTCAGGACATGGTCAATCACCAGCTCCCAGGGACGACTCCGTGTGCCCTCACAACCCCCAGAGCTGGGGGCATGAACATGGACACCGTGCATGGGAGAGAGGCAGAGCATGGCCTGCAGGGGCCCAAGCTGGAACCCTTAGCCTTTGTGGGGGCAGTGGGGTTGAGCTAGGCCTGGGCCAGTTGAACCTGGATACATGGGAATGTGCTCAGCTCTGGAGAGGGAGCAAGGCCACCCAGCAGAGTCCAGCCAGCTTATGTGGCCAGGCCCAAGAACTCGACTGAGTGCTATAGCATGCTGGTTTTCAGACTTTTTAGAAAAGTCTTAGCACCCTCTCTTCAAATAAAAACCTCCATGGGAGCACCTTGTAAGATTTAAAACATAAGCCGGCACTGCCCTGGTTGACAAAGGGTTGGGGGCCCTGCCGATGGGACCCCACCTAGTGCTAGGCGGGGGGAGGGGAGCAGGGATGGCACGAGGGGCTTGGACACTCCCAAGGACGCACCAGCCTCCATTTCAGGCCACCCCTAGGAAGACCGTCTGCCTGGTTTCGAGGACAGACCTGGAGTGAGAGCAGCTCTGTCTTGGACAGAGGCTGGGCCTCAGCATGCAGATCCATGCTCCTGAATAGATATAGCCACGAGACACTAGAGCCTGGACCGGTTGGCCCCAAACATGGACCAGCTGCATCTACCCCGTCTCTTCCCTGGCACTGGGAGGTCGCCTGGATACTTTTTCTCACCTGCTCCCCTTTTACCCTTCTTCCTGCAGGTGAATGCTGATAAAGACAGAACTCTCCTTCTGGACTGGGACCGAGTGCGAGTGTTCGACCGGGAGATTGCACAGATGTTTTTAAACATAACAAAGCTGGAGAAGGAAGCCCAGGTATGCCTGCCCTGCCACACCTGTCACATTTCAACCTTGGTGGGGGATGGGAGTGGGTGGGGGGATTTGGGAGCCTCTGGCTGGAGGAATAGCTTGTGGCCCAAGGTCACATGTTTCTCCCCCTTTCTCAAACACAAACATCTTTTGGAAAGAATGGCTACTCACATATATACCCAGCACAATGTTAGTTGCTGTCAAGTTGTCCCCAGCTCATGGCGACCCCATGCACAGTGGAACAAAACACTGCCCAGTCCTGAGCCATCCCGATGATCAGTTGCAGATGGGACCATTGTGATCCATAGGGTTTTCATTGGCTGATTTTTGGGAGTAGATCACCAGACCTTTCTTCCTATTCCACCTTAGTCTAGACGCTCTGCTGAAACCTGTTCAGCGTTATAGCAACCTGCAAGCCTCCACTGACAAACAGGTGGTGGCTAAGCATGAAGTGCATTGGCCAGGAATCGAACCTGGGTCTCCCACATGGAAGGCGAGACTTCTACCACAGGACCACCACTGCCCCCACCCAACACAATAGCTACAGTGTATTGCATACCTGCTCTAGACCAGGCACCACCCCAAACCTGTGACCCTGGTGGCCCTCTTACCGTCCCTGTCCACGTGACCCAAGGGGCATGGTCTCCTTCTGGCAGGACTCCACACAGGTGTCCTTGCTTTATGACATGTGAGGGTAATGGCTATGCTTTGTGACGTGAGGGTAACAGCTGTGGAGGGACCTCTCACGCTGCCTCACTTGCCCAGGGTCACAGCCAGTAAGGGTTGGATCTGGGATTCTAGCCTCTGTCAGCTTTGCAACCTTTTACCGCCTTCTATCTTTTATTCCCACCACTATCTGTCAGTTTGAGTCCCCATGAGTCGGAGTCAACTCAATAGCAACTGACATGTCTTACTTGGGCAGGGTTTCTTTGAGTTCAAGGAGCTGCAGCAGGGGTGGCTGCACGAGTGGGGCAGGTCTGCGGCCATTGAAGCAAATGTCCTGCAGCCATGAGAGTGGCCAGGGTCCTTGGGGCACAGCCTGGCTGCCTTCAGTCACTGTCCCTGCCCTCCTCAAGCCTTCCCTGGGTGCCCTTTTGCCCACCCAGAATGTTTGCCATTTCTGTCATATTCACATGTACACGTAAAGTGACGTTAATTATGTTAACCATGTTCAAGCATTTTTCCATCACCTTTCACAGCTCAGTGTCCCCTAAACATTGTGGCTTCCTTTCCCCCTCCCCCCAGCCCGCCCCTGGTAACCACTATACAGTCCCGTCTCTGGATTCCTCTTCGCTCCTCCACATTTCCTCTTTCCCAGGAAATTGTGCCCTTACAGCATTGTCATTCTTTCCCCTTCCTGTTGTGTGCTGTCGAGTCGATTCCGACTCATAGCAACCCTGTAGGACAGAGCAGAACTGCCTCATAGGATTTCCAGGAAGCGGCTGGTGGATTCAGACTGCTGACCTTTTGGTTGGCAGCCTGAGCTCTTAACTACTTCACCACCAAGGGCTCCTTTCCCCTTCCTAGTCCTGCGTAAATACCCACTCACGTCTTTAGACCACTGTGAGAGTCAGGGAGGCCAAGTGGATGAAGCCAGACCTTCCACCCACATGCTAGATCCCGCCCTGTAGGTGGAGGCCACCAGCAGGAAGGAGAAGGCCAAGCAGAGGCCCCTGGCCCTGAACACCGTGGAGATGCTGCGGGTGGCCAGCTCCTCTCTGGGTACGTAGGGGTGCTCCTTTGAGGTCCCCGAAAGACTTATGGTGCAGGTACACGGCCTTGTTCAATGCCAGTATAGTGGTGGACACCCGGGGCATGGGACGTGGAGCTGACGCCCACCTCTGCCGAGCACCACTCCTCTGTGCTATGTGAGGCTACGGAGGAGCCTGAATCTTGTGCAGATTGCATTTCTCAGTAAGTTCCAGAGTAAAGCCAAACCCGTTGCCATTGAGTCCACTCCAACTCACGATGACCCTATGTGTATTTGAGTAGAAATACTCCATAGGGTTTTCTTGGCTGTAATCTTCATGGAAACAGATCACCAGGCCTTTCTTCCATGGGTTCGAACCACCAACCTTTCAGTTAGCAGCCAAGAGCAATCTATTTGCACCACCCAGGGGAGTAGGAACAAGAAAATGCAAACAGGAGAGAGGATTCCATTTCACAGTATTGTTGGTTAACACTCAGTAGCTCCTTAGGATTTATTTATGCAGGGAAACCTGGCCTGTGTCATATTGTTACAAGTAGAAACAGCTCCTTGTGAGGTCAGAGTGGCTGCGGCCAGGACTGAAGACCCAGGAGGTCATCTGGCGGTTTGTGTCCTTCCCCTTCATGGGCTTTTCTCATGCAGGCCCTCCTGCGTCCCTGGCTCCATTGAGTCCCCTCAGAGGCATTTATGCCCTGGGGGTCCCAGCTCTGCAGCCAAACTCTCCTCCAAACCCTACTTGACCACTTCCTTCCTTGTCCCTGGAGCCTTGTGAGAAAATGGGGATTATGACAGTTTCTATCTTCTGGGCAGCTGTAAGGGTTACATAATGTGAAACAGTACTCTTTTTGTTTTTTTTCTTTGAGATTTTATTTTAAGATACAGACAAATGCAATATAATGGAAAAATAAATAACCCATACAATGGAAACTCTACAGTCATTTAAAAGGAGTAAGGTAGAGCTACATGGTGTCATCCACCACCCATCCATCAGTTTGTCATACTGTGGTGGCTTGTGTGTTACTCTGATGCTGGAACCTATGCCACTGGTATTTCAAATACCAGCAGGGTCAGCCATGGTGGAAAGGTTTCAGCTTCTAGACTAGGAAGAAAGGCCTGGTGACCTACTTCTGAAAATTAGCCAGTGAAAACCCTATGGCTAATGACAAAAAGTATATTTTAACAATAGCAGTGATGATGTTCTTTAATCCCCAAGACGGGCACCTCCCTTGAAACCCCAGAGCAGTGTCAGTGGGTGTAAGGGAGAGGGCCCAGCTGGGGTTGGAGGCCAGCAAGCGGGACCCATCTCCTGTGGCTGGCTGGGAGCAGGGTGGGCACTATCTTGGGGTCCTGCCTCCACAGTGCTAAGAGGGGCTGGGCTAGAGACATGGGACCTCTGACCAGATGATAGCTCGTGATGGTGCTGGTTACAGCCCCTCTGCATTCACAACCCAGGCCTTGGGGACTGTGGGCAGGGTCCTGGGAGAGCAGTGTCAGCAGAGGGGCTGGGTGCAGGTTTCTGGCCATCCCCAGCTTCCAGGCCAGCTGAGGCCTCCATCTCTTGCAGGCATGGGGCCACAGCACGCCATGCAGACCGCAGAGCGCCTCTACACACAGGGCTACATCAGCTACCCACGTACCGAGACCACCCACTACTCTGAGAACTTCGACCTGAAGGGCCCTTTGCGGCAGCAGGCCAATCACCCGTACTGGGCTGACACAGTGAGTGGGCTGGGCCTCAGAACACTTTCGGCCATCTGGCCAGACCCAGAACTGGTAGCGGCCCCGCTCTTGGCAGGAGAGCAGTGAGCCTAGGCTGACACATTACCTGGTCCTCTCTCCGCAGGTGAAGCAGTTGTTAGCAGAAGGGATCAACCGCCCACGGAAAGGCCACGATGCTGGCGACCACCCCCCCATTACCCCTATGAAGGCGGCCACAGAGGCTGAATTAGGTATGAGACACACACACACATACACACTTCTCAGGCTTCCAGGGAGGTGAGGGGTATGGCCACCATCAATGGCGGCAGGCCCTGTTGGTCGTGCAGAGAGGTGGGAAGGCAAGCGAGGGGCCAGGATGGCTGCGGAGGGACCAGCGCAAGGATTGTATCTCCTACTGCCCACGTGCGTGAAAGACACAGATAGGAAAGGCACAGTTTGGGTAGAGACAGTCTGGGTCTGGATCACAGTGGCATGCCCCTGGACAGTGGAAGGCAGGACGGTGCCTGGACAATGGTCCATCTGGGAGTGGGGTTGGGGGCTGTGTGTGGAGGGGTGGGGCCATGGCGGCAAGGAGCCCACACGGCACAGGAAACTGGCTTTCCCTGTGTGTGTTCCTTCTTCCTTCTGGGGCTTTGGTGCAGGCCTGGCCTGGTACCCCACGGGAGGGAAGGATGAAGACCCATGAGGGCCTCCAACCTGGGCCCCATGACTGTGCGGGGGGCACCAGCACTCCCCCACCAGTGGCCACAGCAACCACTCCCACCATTGCAGGGGGTGATGCATGGCGGCTGTATGAGTACATCACACGGCACTTCATCGCTACGGTGAGCTATGACTGCAAGTACCTGCAGAGCACCATCACCTTCCGCATCGGTCCCGAACACTTCACCTGCTCTGGGAAGACCGTCCTCTCAACAGGTGATACAGACCCCACATCACAGGCAGACAGGGACCGAGGGATGGGGCAAAGGCCTTCTAGGCCAGGCCCTGACCCTGAGGGGTGCGCTCTCTGCAGGCTTCACAGAGATTATGCCCTGGCAGAGTGTGCCCCCGGAGGACAACCTGCCTACCTGCCAGTGGGGTGACACCTTCGCCGTCAGCGAGGTGAAGATGCTGGAGAAGCAGACGAGCCCACCCGACTACCTGACAGAGGCCGAGCTTATCACGCTCATGGAGAAGCACGGCATCGGTGTGCATCCCTGTCCTGCACTGCCCCCAGCGGGAAGCCCTCACCCAAGCTCCTCCCAATGGAGGCTTGAGCTGCAGCCTCCTGCACTGAGAGCTACTCACACTGACCCACGCTCATGGTTGAGGGCAGCCCCGGAGGCCACCTGACTCGTTTACAAGGAGAAATCCCAGAGTCAGTCAGGATCTCCCAAGTCCACACAGCAGCCAGGCCTGTCCCCTCTTGTGGGAGCCACTTCAGTCAGAGGCGCGAAGTCCCTGCCCCAGGGACAGGGCATCCCCAAGGTGACAATGAGTGTCCCCATGCAAGTGGGTGGCATCAGGGTGCTGTCAACTCCCACCTGCAGTCAGTTGCCTGTGCGGGTATCTCAGGGGAGGTGGGCAAGACAAGCCCCTGCCTGTAAGCCATGACCGTGGGCGTGGAACTGACTAGCAGGCCCTCTGCCCAGTGGCACTCCCTGGGGGGCATTGCGCAGTCCCCGACATGAGCCTCCTGGCCAACCTGGTTGACAAACTCTGGAGGGCTGTGGACAGTGGGTCTGGGACAATGAGGGCTGTTGCATCTGGGTTCTGCCCACTGTTTATTGGTTGTACAGGTGAACTTGGTGGAGCACCTCTCTTTAACATGAGGTCCTGGTGACGTGGCCTGGGTGGGAGGCAGGGACTGGGCCTGAGTGTGGGTGCTGCTCGCCCAGTGCCTGTGGCCTTCCTTCTGACTGGGACAGCCCTGCTCTGGCTAGGGAACCTTTCTACATCTGTGGTCCGAGCCTAGTGACCAACATGAGCCGCAGTTGTGGCCATGACTGACAGTGGCATCGGGCACAGGGCTGTGGGGTTGTGTGAGAAGGGCCCACCAGAACTGCCACTCAGGGCTGAGGCAGAGCCACCAGCCTGTCGGGCCTGCCCCACTGTGAGCCTCTGGTCCCCAGTCCTTCAAATGTGAAGGCCTACCTCAGAGCTGCCTGGGGAAGGACAAGAGGATGGCATCCCGTGCTGGCCCATGGCAGACGTACCATGAGCATTTGTCTCCTTTTTGTCCCCTTGAACGCAAATCGCAGTCTTCGATTTTGTCTTCTGTGCTAAGAAAAAGGCCCCTCAGGGTGGGGTGCAGTGTTGACAGCATCGTAGGGACCTAACCCAGGGAATGGTGGAGCCCTGCCCATGGTCACGGGGAGAGGGAGGGCAGCAGTGGGTCAGGGCCACCAGGTTTGGAAGGGGAAAGTTTGGCAGCGTGCTGGGAGTCTTTACCCACAGTCTTGACGTGGGTCTGGGCTGGACCCAGGAGCAGATTTTAGAGGGTTTGTGGGCCCTAGAAAGGAGGGACCCTCCTGGAACTCAGCTTCCATTTCAACAACATATGGTTCCTCAGCTTTCTGTGTTTTTAAAATTACTGACCAAGTAGATCAAGTGCATTTGGGTTTTGGATGGACATTTGACATCTTCGCAGATGGGGGACAGGCCCCGTGGCAGTGCGGCCAGGTGGGCTCACGGCCAGTGAGCACTTGGACCCAAGGACAGAGATGGGCAGCAGGGAGCCACAAGATCGGAACAGCCAGTCACCTTGCTGCCATGTCACACTATCAGTGTTGCACTTACAGCCAGGGAGGCCCCATGCTCAGTGTCTTGGGCGACGTCCTCACAGAGGCAGCTGCCCAGGCGGTGAAAAGACTGCTTGTGGTGCCTGGGAGCCCCACCCTCCCACAGCTACACTGCGGTGGGGGAGCATGTACGGGGAAGAGAAACGGGGATGAGACCTGTGTACAGTGGTTGGGCCACAGGGTTGAGGTAGTAGAGAGGCCACGGAGGTTGCACTGACAAGACTTGTGGGGGGCGAGCTCTGTGGCCTTGGCTGCATAACCTAACCTCTCTGAGCCTCCACATCCCATCTGTAAATGGGAACAAGCACTGATGCTGTGCCGGCAGTCCTTGAGGTCAGCAAGACAATGTATGAGAAGCACACCGCACAGCGTGGGGGTAAGGGGGCTGGGTACAGGGGCCCTTGGTGGGGGTAATGCTGAGCACACAGTCTGAAGGGTGAGTGGGAAGGCAAGGAGGACCAGGTCTTGTCTGGGTGTTCCAGGGACGGATGCCAGCATCCCCGTGCACATCAATAACATCTGCCAGCGAAACTACGTCACTGTGGAGAGCGGGCGCCGGCTCAAGCCCACCAACCTCGGCATCGTCCTGGTGCACGGCTACTATAAGATTGGTGAGTCGGGCTGTCCTCCCCCACCTCCGGGCTGGCTGGGCTCCCTGACCTCTCCTGACGGGCACGGCCTCACTCTGCATCCCCCAAAGCCCAGTGCCAGGTACTGCGCCAGGTGCCCCTGGGGCCTGCCCAGAGCAGGGCTCGACCCATGTGATGGATGAGCCCACATGTGTGGGGACCTCAGCAGGGGCCAGGCCTGGGGTCCTCACCACAGTGCTTGTCTCGACTCTGTCACCGGGAGGGATAGAGGAGTGCAGGCCTTTCCTGGGCACATCTGTGACACTGCCTTGAAGGTCCCTCTGCACAAGATTCCAGTGGGAGGTCAAGAAAACCCTGGTGGCAGCATGGCAGCCAGCCTGGTACCGTCCAGCTCTGTGGACAAGAGGCCCAGAGGGGCCAGGGGACTGGCCAGAGCTGGAGGGAGCATGGCAGTGGCCTTTTCCCTGCCTGATGGGGCCGCAGCCACTCGGGTCCAAGTGCTCCCACCGTGCCCTGGTCCCACCCACAGATGCGGAGCTGGTGCTCCCCACCATCCGCAGCGCCGTGGAGAAGCAGCTGAACCTAATTGCCCAGGGCAAGGCTGACTACCGCCAGGTGCTGGGGCATACCCTGGACATCTTCAAGAGGAAGTTCCACTACTTCGTCGACTCCATTGCCGGTACGGTCTGCTCCTCCCTGCCCCTTCCCAGAGGACTCTTGGTCAGGCCACCCTGTCTGTCCCTCACCAGACAGGTGGGGATGCCTCACTGCTGGTCACTGTCAGCATGAATGCATGGCAGTGTCCACAGTACTCACAGGGCCAGGCTGGCCCAGTGCACATGCTTCCAGTGGGCTACTCTGCCGTTCTGTCACTGCCAGCAGAAGCCGCACTGTCATGGGGGACCGTGTACTCCCCCGCAGGGACTGTGCATACTTACCCACGGGATTGTGTACTCACCCATGGGACTGTGTGCACTCACTGCAGGGTGCTGTGCATACTCACCATGAGCACTGTATATACTCAGACTCTTGCCCAAATCAGCAGAGGGTGGAGGGTGGGGTAGGAACTTCTTTCAGTCTACCCAGTCCACTGAACATCGTCAGGGAGGTGGGAAAGCTCTTCTGACAGCAGTTCCCAGCATACCTGGGCGCTAATTCCAGCTCCAAACCTGGAGGCCCCCTTCCCTGGCCCTGTTTGCTTCCAGGCATGGATGAGTTGATGGAGGTGTCATTTTCGCCCCTGGCTGCCACGGGAAAGCCCCTCTCCCGCTGCGGCAAGTGCCACCGGTTCATGAAGTACATCCAGGTGGGTAGGGGCAGCGATGATCCTTACGGCCTGCAGTGCTCAGTGCACAAACTTGGCAAGTCCCGGCCCTTTGAGTCCTCTTGCTTCCTCTTTGGTCATCCAGGAAGAATGTTTCTTTTCCTGGTTGCCCCACAAGAGTGGTTGGAGGCCTGATGCAGCCTTGCCAATAAGCACCCCCAGGGGCCCCCAAGCTGTTAAACCACCTAGACACACATTGTCCCTCAGGGGCTCAGACACCTCAATGCCCATTGTCCCCTAAGGGCCCTGAGCTGTTAAACCACCTAGGTGCACACTATGCACTTTCAGCCGCGGTGGGGGGCACTAATATACATGCAGGGATTGTGAGCTCCCTTTCTGCAGGAGGTAGGGGGACAGGGGTCCTAAGACACAGGCTGGAGGCCTGGCCTGAAGGCCTTGTGAGCAGCATACCAACATTAAAAGGAGTCAGAGTGGGGAATGCCGGGCAGCCCGCAGCCCCCCATGCCAACTCCATATGTTGCCCACAGGCCAAGCCGAGCCGCCTGCACTGCTCGCACTGCGACGAGACCTATACCCTCCCCCAGAACGGCACCATCAAACTCTACAAGGAGCTCCGGTGCCCGCTGGATGACTTTGAGCTGGTCCTATGGTCGTCAGGCTCTCGGGGCAAGAGCTACCCTCTGTGCCCCTACTGCTACAACCACCCGCCCTTCCGAGACATGAAGAAAGGTGAGCACATCCTGGGCCTCAGCCACCACCAGGTATCTGTGGTCTCTGTGCAGTGCTGGCCTGCCTAGTACTGTGCTGGCCCAAGGCAGAGGGCTGCCCCTGCCCACCCTCTGAGTGCTTACTGGAGCAGAGCCAGGACGGCACTGGCTCAGGCATTGGCTGCCAGCCTGCTGCTCTGGCCAGGTGCTAACTGAGTGGCGACTGGTCTCTGCGTGTGCTTGGCGTTTGGGCCAGGGCACAAGGTGCCTACCCCCTGCTGGAGCGAATGAGAGTGCAACAGACTGGGTGTCCACCCAGCACAGGATTCGCTGTAGTCAGCACCTACGGCCCTGCCTATCTCCTCTGACTGAGAGTGCGTGGCCAAGCGGTGGAGAGACCACACCAGGGCCTGAGGCCATCCAAGCCCACCCCCCCTTACAACCAAGCTACCCCTTTGCAGTCAACGTGACCTCTCAGGGCTGTCATCACCCCACATTGCAGATGAGGAGCCAAGGGCCAGTGAGAGCCAGGCATCTGCCCCAGTTCACAGAGGGGGTGGTGGGCATGGCCTAAGTCCAGGCTGCTGGGTAAGGTCCTTCCCTACTGTCCTAGGGAAGTCACTGAACCAACACTCCAATTTGATATTAAAAACAAATAAAATTTACTGAAGGAATGAACCACGGGACAGCATGCGTTCAGTTTGGCTGTAATGGCATGCTCTGCCTTACAGGCAAAACAAAGAGATATTTAACAAGTAGAATGAGTACAGGTAACAACTTCACATCAAAGCAATGGCAAGAAAGGAGGTGAGATTTACAAGGGTGGCAATTAACTGAAACTTTCTTTACACCAGTTTCTAGACTAACACACATCTCTGGTACTTGATACAATTTAACTAAAGCAATATTTCTAAAATGAAAAGTATAAACAATTCCAACATGAAAGTCCTAGTGATATATTTGCAGCTGCGCCAACTTAGTTGGAGTTTTTGGATACAGAACTGACCATTAGTTAGGAAAATGTAAATAAACTCTGCTTACTTAGCTAAGAGAAAAAGAGAATGCTTAGGCGCTTGCTGAGGAACTTCTTTTAAGGTAGTTAAAAGAACATGTTTATCTGTAGGCTCCAATTTACTTTAACAATTCAGTGAAGCTTTTTCTAAGGCCAGTTGTGGGAACACTCTTAACAACCACGACTGAACTGACTGAGCTTTTGTTTTTCAAACGACACACTTTAACAGAAGTCAAATGTTATCATGAGAGTAGAAGTAAAACCCCAGTTTAATTTCAGAATGGAGTACTTAATTTTAGTTCTGAAATCCCCCCCAGTTAAGCCTACCAGAACCTCAGAATTTAAAAGTTCCTCCCATACTACCCTCTAGCAGCTTCCAGAGAATCTGGCCCTTGCATGTGGCCCAGTGGAGCTGCTGGTCAGTATGAGCTGTGGAAGCACAGCTGAAGGACCAAGGGATTGGTGTTTGCCTGGGCAGGGGCCGGAGGGCAGAGGAGCCTCTAGAGAAGCAAGATGGTGGCTGTGGCGGGATCTTCCAGACCCCAGGGCCAGCATGAGCAAGGACCTCCCCAGAGCAAGGTGGAGGAGCATTTCTGCTGGGATGAGGAACGCTGGAATGTTGAGACACTGAGAGCCATCCTGGTGGCTGCAGTGGGGAGGGCTGGCAGGATGGGGCCAGAAGTGCATTGTGACCTCCCTCTCCACAGGCATGGGCTGCAATGAGTGCACGCACCCCACCTGCCAGCACTCGCTGAGCATGCTGGGCGTCGGGCAGTGTGTGGAGTGTGAGAGCGGCGTGCTGGTGCTGGACCCCACCTCAGGCCCCAAGTGGAAAGTGGCCTGCAACAGGTGCAATGTTGTGGCGCACTGCTTCGAGAATGCCCACCGCGTGCGCGTGGCTGCTGACACCTGCGGGGCCTGTGAGGCTGCCCTGCTCGATGTGGACTTCAATAAAGCCAAGTCCCCGCTGCCCGGTGGCGAGACGCAGCACACAGGTTGCGTCTTCTGCGACCCCGTCTTCCAGGAGCTGGTGGAGCTGAAGCATGCAGCCGCCTGCCATCCCATGCACCGTGGCGGCCCAGGCCGCAGGCAGAGCCGAGGGCGGGCCCGAGGCCGGAGGCCCCTGGGGAAGCCCAGCCCCCGGCGGCCAAAGGACAAGATGTCAGCACTGGCCGCCTACTTTGTGTGAGAGCTAGTGTGCCCTGGCCCTGGGTGGTACAGCTGTCATGGTTGTCCTCTGGTCACTGAAACCATTAAAATGCATTTTTTTCCTCAGAGCAAAGATCTCAGGCCTTGTGCTAGTCAAAGCTTTCAGAAGCTTGACTCCTCCCTGGGGCCTATGGGGCCCCTTCCTCATTCCTCCCTGCTCAGTCTCCTCCCCTCCCCACTCCCCCCTCCCTGTCCCTGCCTTTCCCTGCATCCCAAGCACAAGTCCTATGGGCACCCTGCTCCGGCTGGCACAGGCGGTGCCCACAGGAGGCCCCACATCTGGAGATGGAGTAGATATGGTCAGCAGTTCACAGCACATTCCACATGTGACCATGCATAGGAGGCCACAACAGTCATACCCCGAGAGTGTGTCATGGGAGAGAGGCCCAGCCAGGAGGAGCCCTCTCTGGACTGACCTTGGGAAGCCCCTTGCCTTCTCCCCAGCCCTCTGCGTGGCTTTCGACCCTCCAGACCCCCACACTATATGCTCCCAGCTCCGTACCTCAGAGTAGGCACTGTCTGGGACCCCTGGACACCATTGTCAGCCAGACTGCAGCAGCTCTTGGGGCCTCTTCTGGTGCCCATTCTCACAACAAGGCCATTGTGTCTTAAACAGGGACAGTAACGTACATAGGGAGCACAAGAGTGCTGTGGCAAGCTGCAGGGTGCCCCTAGAAGCTGTCACATGTCAGGTTTAGAAAAGACCCAAAAGCCCAGCTGGCAGTCGGCTGCCATCTGTGACCACTGCCCCTTTCCCTGCTCCCTGCTCCAGCCACACCTGCCTGGAGCAGCTACACACCCTCCACCTCTGCTTCTGTAAATAAACCAGTGTGCACACTGTCACCACTACAACCTCTGCCAGGGCCAGTGAACATCCCTGGTGCTCCCTGGAACACCATTTGGGAAACTGCTGTAGAAGCAAAAGAAAAGGCACAGTGAGACCAAAAGCTGTCTTCTGGGGAAGACCACCCCTGGGAAGATAGCCCCCTGGGAAGCTGTGCTGCAGCCAGGCTGGCAGGAACCATGCATCTGGAAAGTCTGGGGGCCAAGCTTCTCCAGGTGGAGCCCCCTCCTACTGTTCCACCCCTCCAGTCAGATCCCAGCACACCGACCAGGCCATGCTCAGTAGTGGGGAGGGTCCCTGCATGGGCTATAACTCCTGCACTCTCATGGCCATCACCATCACACATCGAGGACAGACTGGGCCCCTCTCCACAGGAGGGCCAGGCCCCAGGACCCTGCAGTGAGGCAGCCAAGTAGGCAGTGGAATTTGGGCTTGTAGGGACTCAAAACACAGACCTCACATTTCTAACTCACCAGGATTCGGCCACAAGCAGGGCTCTGTGTAAAGTGTCCATCTGTCTTTGCTGCTGGCCCTCATGCAGTAGTCCTGTCAGGGCCCTTGACTGTCAGATGGAACTCTGCACTCCTGGACCCCTCCCTGTGCATCACCACAGTTACAGGCACAGTAAGGACACAGAAGAGGCTGTCTCAGGCCTGAACTGCTTCTGGCAGCTGTGTTGGCTGCACTTTCTGGTGCCTTCGAGTCTGGGGAGGGTGGTGGCTGCAGGCTGCCTGCTGGAAGAGCTGCAGGGTGAGCCCCCTAGACCAGGCATCTGGTCTCATGGTAGCTGGATCAGCTGGACACAGACTGGCTTCCTTGAGAGAATCCACCCTGTCACCTGAGGTTTTGGCACGCTGGTGCTATGGGTGCCCCTGTGTTTGCTCAGTTGGGTGGAGCGCCCCCTCCTGGGGCTGGTGGACAGATGGAGGCGGCTCTGAACTGCAGATAGGAGCCCCCTCTCCAGCCCCACCCAAGTCAGGCCTTTTGTGACCTGGAGAAAGCAGCAGCCAGGGAAGACCCCAGGTGCCCTCTGGAAGGCAGCACTGCTGCAGACAGAACCAGGCTGGCGCCCACTGTAAGCAGCCCTGCAAATCGGGGCAGGGATCCACAGGTCCTTCCCCTGAGGTCACAGCCATCGTGGTGGTTGGAAAGCCTAGAGCAATATGAACCATCTCCACATGACTCTATCTGGCAGTGTGTGAGGGGATGAAGGAGGAAGGTGGTGGTGACAGCCAGAGCACGATGAGGGGGACGAGGACGCAGAGCAGGGTTCGAGAACGGACATTTGGGGTCTGAAGGGGTAGGGGAGAGTAGCATCTTTCCAGACGGGAACTGGGGACTCAGGGCAGGCTTGGTGCCCGATGGGCTGTGACGGCAAGAGACTCCTTCCCTGAGGGTGTGAGGTGGGAGGGTGATGGGTGCCACAGGGCACGGTTATCCCCAGGCACGCCCTCTGCAAAGGCCGTGAGCCCCAGAGAATGGCCCTGCCTCACTGAACCACCATCACTGAGCCGCAGCCCCCAAATGCAGTCAGCAGTGTGGGACAGCCCCTGTGAGGGGCTGCAGGTGTATCAGCTTCTGCTTCACAGTGGGCGAGGCCCTGTCACAGGTACCACCTCACCAGAGATGAGGTTCTAACTTTTCTTGAACTCCCGCATACTCATGCACGCACGGATGCACAAACATGGGCATTCTGATGGAGGCAATCTCTGGACATGCTGAGAAACACTGGCCCGGGGGCTCACGACACCCCTACGGGATAGATTGCTCTTGTCCCCACTTTTCTGGTAAGGAAGCTAAGGCTCTGGTAAGCTAAACAATACACCCCAGGTCACAGGTTATAAGACATAGCCCCAAGCCTTGCTCAGGGTCACCGATCTGACAGCAGGTTGCAAGATCTGGGAAGAAGTAAGCAGAAGAATGGGATGAGGCCCCCTGCTTTGTCAGCACAGACATCTCCTGACATTCAGACCAACCCCCACATGGATGATTTCTTTCAGCTCTGCCAGCTGCTAATTCTCTAGGTTCCTGACTTTACCGAACCAGTACCAGCTGCAGTCAAGTACACCCAGGTTCATGGCCACCCCCTTGTGTGTCAGAGTAGAACTGTGCTCCATGGGGTTTTCAATGGTTGATTTTCTGGAAGCAGATTGCCAGGCCTTTCTTCCAAAGCACCTCTGGGTGAGCTTGAACCTCCGGTCTTTCAGTTAGCAGCAAGCATGTTAACCATTGCACCACCCAGGGATTTACAGTGTAATTACAAGGGTCCTTAATGGGGAAGAGCAATTCAGAGTAGGGAACCAGAGAGATGGCAGTGTGAGGACTCAGAGACACTGCTGGCTTTGGAGATGAAGGGCCATGAGCCAAGGAATGCGGCAGCCTCTAGAAGCTGGAAAAGGCAAGGAAATAGGTGCTCCCTTAGAGCCTCCCAAAGGGAATCCACCCCACACACACACACACATCTTGACTTTACCTAGCCCCCCCACCCCAGCCCCCACCTTGACTTTAGCTGGATGAGACCCGGGTGAGACTTCTGATCTACAGAACTGTAAAATGATAAACTTGTGTTAAGCCACTAAATGTGTGGTAATTTGTCACAGCAGCAATAGGAAACTAACGCAACCCCCAACAGTATGGGGGCCCGAGGCCCTTGGCCTCCTGGACCTTAAATTCTTAGCCCGGGGCGGCCCATTTGCAAAGGGTTTGCAACAGCACCGGCTGTTGACCTGTGTAAACTGCTTAATCTCGGAGCACTGAGAGGTAGGGATTACCGCCGCTACCCCTTAACCAGGCCCACTCAGCGGCGAGTGGCGGGACTTCAGCTCCCCAGTCTGCAGCCGCTTTTGGAAATCATGTGGTAGCGGTTCCGCGCGACGCTCCCGGTGGAAGCCGCCAGGGGGCAACAGAAGTTGGCCCCTCCCGGGGCCCGACTGCGCCTGCGCGCGTCCGCGGAGGCCAGGACGGGAAGTGGGCGGGGCCGGTGGAGCGACTCGAGGCGCGGAACCCGCGCAGAGCAGGTGAGGCTGCGGGCCCGTGGTGCGGAAGCCAGGGTGGTGCTGAAGGGCTGGAGAAAGGGTCAGGGGCGCCCTGGGGGGCTGAAGATCCCGGGAGGGGTTGGATAAGGAGGCCGAGATGGGGGCATCCAAGGGTCAGTGGCGGGGATGGGGAGCTGAAGAGCGGGCTGGGAGCCTGAGGAGCTCGAGGCGGGGAATTAGAGGACTGGGGAGCCAAGGGCGTGGGGTTCCCAGAGCCGGCGGGGGCGTGGCCGGGCCCAGGGTCAAGCGCGGAACGAGGGCTGGGAGGGTGAAGAGGGGGGCAAAAAGTGGCGCGCCCCCATCTGCCCGGTGGCGGGGCGCCCCCATCTGCCCGGGGACCAGCCTCTCCCATTAGCATCTGGGCCGAGCCCACTGCCCTGATCCTTACCCAGCAGCCCCTGCACCTTCACAGGTCCACACTCCTCCCGAAGGGCCCGACTTGCCTTGCTCACAAGTGTGTATGAGGCGTATATTTTAGTTCAAGGCAGAGTTTGTAAGGTAAAGGCCCCAGCTGCGAGGTGAACCAGCCCCACTGCTACAGCTGTGCGACCTCAAGTGAGCCCCTTAATCTCTGTATGAAAGGAGAAATGGCACCTAACTAGGGGTGTGAGCGCAGTCAGTGATGGTGGGCTCCACGCGTCCCCGCATGCCCGCCTCTTGCTGAATTCCCTGGGACTGGTCTGTCAGCTGGGGTGGGCTGACCTGGGCTCCCTCCATGGAGAACAGAATGCGAGGCTAACTCTGAGCTCATCTCCAGCTACTTCTGACGCTTAGGCACATATCCGCCTATTGTCAAATTCCACTCTTTTCCTCTTGTAACTGAGGTGGAAGTGACAGAGGCACCAATTCCAGTGGCCGTGAAGTCCACTCTGACTCATGGCAACCCCCTGTGTTAGAGTAGAACTGTACTCCGTCGGGTTTGCAATGGCTGGTTTTTCAGAAGTAAATCACCAGGCCTTTCTTCCAAGGCCCCTCTAACCCGTTAACCCATTAACTGTTTGTACCACCCAGCGTCCTGGCTTTGCCATTTCCTACCTGTGATCTTTACTGGGTTACTTATCCTCTCTGAGCCTATTTCTTCACCTGTAGCGTGAGTGTGACAGTGTATATTTCTCAGCATGGTTGTGTGAGGTGAAGAAAAGGAATGCCACTCTGACAGCTGTAAACTTGTTTGCAAGTTCACTTTTAGAATTCCTTTGAGAGATTGCCTACAGCCAGCCCTGGCTTTAAGACCTGTCCCTACTGTCCACCATGTTCCCTGGACTATTTTAGCTTCCTCTTTGAAGGCAACACCCCTGAGTGGTGCAGTTAACATGCTAGGCTGCTAACTAAAAGGTTGGAGGTTCAAGTCCACCCGGAGGTGCCTTGGAAGAAAGGCCTGATGATTTGCTTCTGAAAGGTCATAGCCATGAAGACTCTATGGAGCACAGTTCTACTCTAACACTCATGGGGTCACCAGGAGTGGGAGTCTGATTTGGGTCTGGAGGGCAGTGGGTGAGAGAGGTGGAACCAAGAGGACCCTGGGTTTCTGCTTGGCCCTCACTAGCCCAGGAGTCCAGAAGGAGGCCAGCTTGCAAAGGGCAGTGCGAGTGCCTGAGGTGGTGGCTGGTACCCGGATGGGGGTTCTGAGCTAGGAGAGGAGGCCTGCTTTGTGGGGTGGGATGGAGGAAGGGAGCCAGGCTTTCAGGTGTGGAAGGAGCAGAGTAGAGGGTGAAGAGCTCAGGATGCCCCATCCCTTCCCAAGCCTTAGCATTATCTGTAAGGCAGGGTGCTTTTCCTGGCTCTAGGGATGTCTCGGGGTTCTGGGGCCTGGCAGCAAGTAAGCCCTCCGTGTTCCTAAGGATACAGGAATGGAAGAGCCCAAGGCGGGAGCCAAGCTGGCAGTGGGGCCAAAGCCTGGGTGCCACCCTGCTGTCTACAGGGCCTCTTCCAGCCAGGGTTAAGCACGCACGCGCAGTTCCACCTATCAGAGAGGATGTAGCAGCCTTGGTCACGTCCCCAGTGCACTCCCGCTGTTTCAGGGTCAGCCCTCTGCCTCTCTCCCATCCACCCTGAGTCCTAAGGGCCATGGGGGGCCCGTCTGCTCCCTACCAGGCCTGCCTCCTGGGCAGCCTCACCAGCCCTCTCCATGTGCCAGCCCTGCTGCTCTCCACCCAGGCCCCTCTCCTTCCCTGGACCTGTCCTGGAGCCCCAACAGGTGCTTCTTTAGTCTCCCTCTGGTGGCCCGATGGCTCTATGTCCTTGCCTTAGAGCCCCCCACCCTGGGTCCCCAGGAGCAGGCTGAACCCCTTCACCTGCCAATAGCCCGGCCCAGCAACCCGCTACTGCTCCACCTCTGCCTCTCTACTCTGCTCTCTCGACGCCCAAAAGCGCGACTCCATTCCTCCATTCCACCCCACAAAGCAGGCCTCTTCTAGCTCAGAACTAGCTCAGAAACCCTATCTAGGGGCCAGCCACCACCTTGAGCACTCACATTCTCCAGGACATCCCACGGCCTCTGCTCCCAGGCCAGCTCTCAGGCATTCACATCCCCCCTCTGGCCTGAGTTGTCCCCCGTGCCTGCTCGAGAGCCCCCGCCTGAGCTATGAGGGGGTGGGCTGTGCCCTCTCCCTTGAGGCCCAGCCTTAGCACAGCACCTCCGTGTTTTGCCTGTGAGAGAAGGGGAGCAAACAGGACCCATGCCCTCTATGCTGCAGAGAGGCCGGAAGAGCCGGGCACCATCTTCAGTGTTTGCTGACTCACATTTCTCCCTAGAGCGAGACTGACTGTAAACCTACCCACCCAGCGCCGGCACAGGCGCCCAGGATGCTCTCGGAATGGCCTCTGGTGCCCCACAGGAGAGCAGCCAGAGGGCCAGCGGTGCAGAGGAGACCCAGGGGTTCCTGGACACCTTCCTGCAGGACTTCCCAGCCCCACCAAGCCCAGAGAGCCCTCTGCCATGGAAGGCCCCGGGGGTGGCGCTGAGCCAGGAAGAGGTGCTGGGCGAGCTGACTGAGCTGGCATTGAGCTTCCTGGGCAGCAGGTAGGCTGGGTGGGGTGGGCCTCTCCATCCCGCCGATGTTGGCCATTGCTGCTGTCACTGGGCCCATGGCCCTGTGCTGGCTCCATCACCTGTGTACATTCCATCACAGTACTGAGCGGCAGGGACTTCTGACCAGTTTTACAGTTGGGGAGGCAGTGGCTCTGGTGGGTTAAGTCAGGGCAGGGTCAGGCCAAGGGCAGCACAGGCCACACGGCTCCCCAGGCACCATGGCCATGAGTGGGTACACCCTGATTTGCAGACAAGGAAGCAAAGGTACAGAGAGGTGACGCAGCCCACCTGATAGATTTTGGAGAGATCAAGAGTAGCCTGTCCGCAAACCACCCGCACACTGTGTCCAGCTGGGCTGGTGTCTGGGGAGGCACTGCTGGGTCTGTGCCCCTATACTCAGTCTGCAAGTATTACCCCCCAAGAAAGACAACGGCCGACCAGCCCTTCTCTGACCATCACCCACACAGCCAGCTGCAGGGCCTTGGAGTTGGGCTGCTCCATGTGGCACGGGCCACACAGCATCCTGGGGACCTAGTCCCTCCCAAGGGGGTATTCTCTGGCCCTGAATCCCAGCATCACCCTCAGGTCATCTGCAAATCCCCTGAAGCAGTGACATGGCTCTGGCCGTGGCTACTCCAGTGCTTTGTCCACTGACCAGGCCAGCCTTCAGCCTGTCCACAGACTCCGGTACTGCCGCATGCTGCCTGCCTGCCCCCTGTACACTGGCATCTCAGTGTCCCAGGTTGTGTGTCCTCTGCTGCAGTCACCTCCATTCCCACACACCTGGGTGCCTGTATGTGAGGAGCATGAGGTCCAGCGAGGAAAGACGTGCTCTCCCTCTGCACGGCATATCAGCCGTGCCACCCCCATGGCACAACCCCCGTCGCGCTGAGCTCAGTTCTGCAGGGCCGTGCGGCGGGGGTAACCGTGGTCTTGTTTGCCTGTTTTGTTTTGCATTGAGGAACTATTTTCCAGACAGCCAGTGTGCGAGGTGATTCCCCATTCTGGTGGGGCAGCATGGGCCGGGCCATTGGGCTGCCGTGCTGATGTGTGGAGGTGGCAGGAGCGAGGAGGGTGGAGAGGGAGCAGCCAAGGTGGGCAGCGCTTGGGAGGATCAAGGCACCTTCAGGGCCCATTCCTGGTTACACTGCAGCCCCTGACTGGGCCCTCAGGGAAGGTGAAGACCCACCACCCTATCGCTGCTATGGGGCTTGAGGGCTGTGAGGAAAAAGCCAGGGCCAGCCAGCAACCCAGGGTCTCGGGCAGTGAGGGGGGTCTGGGCTGGGTCCACGTGGAGCGTATTGTGTCCACTGGAGATAGAGGGCACAGGCTGAGGCAGGAGTTGCAGTGGTAGAGCAGCCCTGAGGGTAGCAGTGCTCAGGACTGGCTGGGCCTCTGGGTGGGTGGCCAGAGCCCCAGAGGGTCTCCACTCCCAGCAGGCAGGGCGGAGCAGAGGGCAGGCAGGAGGACATGCTGAGGGAGAAGGGGTCTGGGGCTTTGCCTCACAGAGTGCACATGGGAGAGGGGTAAGGAGGAGGGTGGCCCAGGCAGTGGCAGCAGTAGGAGCAGATGACCTGCCCCACCTGGATGGTCTGGGCTGAGAAGACATGTGTTCTCCCAGAGGGCTGCAAGAGGCACGGGCCCCAGTGCAAGTGGGTTCTGGTTATGGTGGGGGTGTTGTTGCAAGCAGAATTTCTGGAACAAAGAGGACTTGCGCGAGGTGGAGCCGGTTCTGAGAGGAGGTGGCGAGCCAGGGTCTCGCCATGGCAGAGCTCTAGGCCTGAGCCCAGAGTGATGGGGCTGGCAGAGAGCCCGGTCAGGCCCAAGGGAATAGTGCCGCTACTGGCCATACCCAACCCTGGGAACTCCCATGGGCTCCTTGGAGCCGGAGGGATTAGAGATACCCCGTGAATCTACTTAAAGCACCTTAAAATGTCGTAGTTACAAAATTCTCGTATTTTCCAGCCTTCCTAGCAGACTTACTTTCAGGTTTTATTTGTTCCTTTCTAATGTTGTTTTTCACACACAGACATGGGTCTTCATTGGTGTGGTCATGGCATAAACATGTGGGCCTGGCACGTTGTCTCACGAGCGCCCCGTGTATCTGTCCGTCCTCATGGTCTCTGGCTTGTGCATACCCACTGACCAGCTCGTGCCGAGGATACAGTGGTGCTCTGGTGTCGTTGTCCACAGACTTTTCAGATGATAGGTGGGATGTTCGGTGAGAATGTGCAAAGGTCAGATCGCAAGTTCCAGCTGTGGTGGCTTGGGTCCAGGCTTCTCCTGGCGTTAGGGAGTTCTTATCACACTCTCGGGTTCCTGAGCAGTGTGGCCTCACACCATGGTTATTTATATGTGCTTCCACCTCCTTGGAGGCCCCCTCCATGGGCGGGATGAGCCTTCACAGTCCTGTGGCCTTGCCCACCCATCAACATTTCCTGGAGCGCTTTTGGCGGTCTTTAGGAGCCCCGCCCTGGAGGGACCCGAGTGGGGCTGGTTCTCACTGTGCAGAGACCAGGACAGGCGGGACACTCAGGTGTTCATGAGCTGGTGAGGTGGGTGGGGTGCCCCAGAAGCAGAATGCTGGTGGCCCGCAGCCAGCATTGTCAGGGTCCATGCAGCTGGAAGCTAACCCCAGCAGCAGGGAAGGGCATCAGGAAGCCGCCCATGACCTCACAGGAGCAGGCGTCACCTCCCCCTGCTCTAACAGGAAATGCCATTGGTTGTCACTGCGGGGGGAACTCACTTCTCATGTCCTGGTTGGTTGTTTGTCAAAGACAGTTCCAGAGGGTTCTGTCATTGAGTCACTCTCTTATTTTAAAACATTACTAAATCATAGTGGTGGATTCCTAAGACCATCAATAGACACACCACAGAGAACACCAGCCCCCAGGGGACATCACCTGGCCCTTCTGGGCTGTTGGAAAGTCCCCATTGGCCCTGGGCACTGGGGGACGGGCACACAGTGAATGAGGCCATCCCGGGGGATGGGTGCAATTGTGTGCTGGAGGCTTTAGGGGCACCAGGAGGAGCATCAGGGAAGACTTCACAGGGATGTGAGGGGCCATCTGGGTCTAGGGGTACGGGGCATGGACATGTAGAGGCTCTGGGCATCTTTAAATTCCAGGTAGTCCTGCCCACTGGTTGCTTCTTGGCCACAGCGGGGTTCAGTCCCTCCATCCCCACAACCTCCTCCCCTGACCTGGCCACCTTTGACCTGCCATCGTTCCTCTTCTCCTGCACTGCCTCTTTGCAGAAGGACTATCCTTCCCTTCAACTCATCTCTCTACCTGCTGCAGCCTTCCTCGCTCCCTCTGCTGACACTAGTGACTCCTAACACAGAATGCCATGCAGCCATTGAGCTCTGTCCCACATGACCTGCGAGTCAGGTCTGAAATAGTGACTGGATCTTATTTGGGTGGCCACTTTCATGGTTGCCTCGTTTCTCTCACTGACCCCTCTGCTTCCTCCCATCTCTTGGGGCTTCCTTCCTCCCCTCCCCGGTCCCCACTCCACCCCTGCCCGTGCTGGTCACTCTCCAGCCCTGTCTCCTGTGCAGACCATGCCTCAGCCTACCTCCTGGACCTGCCCATGGTCAACAGGACCTGAGCTCGTCACAGCGCTCTCAGCCGCCCCCACTGTCCTTCTCCCTGTCTGGTTGACTGACTGTGCTGCAGCCTCCCCAGTGCAACTCAGCTGGGCCTCGCAGTCTGTCCATCACAGTCTGTCCCCCATACTGCTCTCCCCTGTTCTGTATCACTGCCGCCCACCAGTGTCCCTGCGGTCCCCCTTCCACACTGAGGCCAGAGAGCTGTAGAAACGCGGAGCAGTCATGTCACATTCCCCTTCAAACAAGCAAAGTAAGTGGCGCCTGATGGCCATGAATGTGGCCTGCCACCCTCTGCCCACCACCCATCCGCCCAGCGCCCCCTTGCACCAGCCACCCTGGCGGCCTGCTTTGCCAGGGACCCCGGGCGCCATGCACAAACCACTTCCTCTGCTGGACCCTCACCTACCATGTGGCCTGGTGTTCATGAGTGCCCTTTAAAGTGGAGTCCCCCACTCCAGCTCCCCCAGACCCCCCCGAAACCCTCCAGGATGCCCCTCTCCCCTCCTTCAAGTTAACCAAGCCTCCCAGGGCTCCCCTCTCCCCTTGCAGCTCCCCAGGTCATCTAGAGCTCTCCCCAACTCAGCTCCCCAAGTCCCAAGGCCCCCCAACTCCCCCAGGGCTACCCACTCCCCCCCCAGCTCATCAAGCCCCCAGGGCTCCCCTCTCCACCCACTCCAGCCCCCCAGGTCCCTGGGGCTCCCCAGCCATTCTTGGTTACTCCCCCTTTCCTCCCCCTGTGGCCTGTGGGAGAGGCGCTTGGACCAGATTGGAGTTCACGTAATCTGCTTGCCCGTCCTCCGGGCTAGTGGACATAGTTCACACATCTTTGTGGCACCCCCCTACCACGCCCAGCTCCACGCTGGCCCAGAGTGGGTTCCAATCAAGGTTGTTGTGTATGTGAACATGTGTTCTGTTGTGTGTTGTGTTCCTGTCCTGACTCCCCGAGGAGCAGAGGCTGCCCTGCTCGTGTGGGTCCCCGTGCAGTGCAGGCAGGATATCCTGCCTCTGGAAGGGGCTCCCCAAGGGGAGAGGGCAGCGAGGGTCCCTTGGGGAGGGTGCTGGTGCTCCTGCCTCATGTCCTGTCCCTGTCCCACCTTTTGTCCCTAGGAGCGCTCCACCAGTGCTGGCGTCGGCCCTGGCCCATGCAGCCATTTCCCAGCTGCTGCAGATGGATCTCTCAGAGTTCAGGAAGCCACCTGGGCACAAGGAGGAGGAGGAGGAGGGCGACGAGGAAGAGGACAAGGCCCCTGTGACCCGTGAGTCCTGTTGCCTCTCAGGTGGCCCCAGGCTTGCCAGGCCTTGCTGCAGAGTGGACAGGACTGGAAAGGCCAGGCAAGGGGGAGGCTGCAGGGGAGACGCTGGTTTTGGAGCTGTCAGGGCTGACCTGGTCTCCACGTCTTTGTCCTGTTGTCCTAGTGGGGGTGCGGTTGTGGAAACCCATTGATCAGGGCTACAGAGGGACTGCTGTTGAGGGAGGTGCAGAGAGCAGTCCTTCCACTGAGGGCTCATGAGGGGTGGCAGGGTAGAGGAGCAGAGAGTGCAGTCCCTGCTTTGAGGGCTTATGAGTGGCAGGGTCGCAGGGTAGAGGCTCAGAGGATGAAGTCCCTGGGCTTGAGGCTCACGAGCTACAGGGACATAGAGTCGAGGTGCAGAGGGCGCAAGCCCCATGCTGATGGCCCACGAGTGGCAGGGTTGCGGGGTGGAGGTGCAGAGAGTGCGACTCCACATGTGCCACCAGCACAGCGTAGCACAGCCATGCACGGTCAGACTCAGCCATGGCACCAGCATCCAGTGGACACAGGCACCCTTGATGTCCTGTTCAACTGCAGTTCCAGAATAGTCCAGAGAGTAAATAATGCTTTTACCATTCTCATGCGAGGAAGCCGAGGTGCTGACTCACAGCAGCAAGGCTAAACTCAGATGCCCTTTCCCCTCTGCCCCAGCCAGCATCCACCTGGATGAGTGAGGCCAGTGGTGAGTGGTGTGGTGGTGCTGCTGCTAGAACCCAGGGCGCACACCTTGCAGCCCCCACTAACCTGAGTTGGGGCAATGAGACAGAGGCAGTCAGTGACATCCCTGGGTGCTGCTCCAGGTGGGAGGACTGGCCCCCAACAGCACTGCCTGGAGGCTGCTAGTGCATAGACACAGAGCCGGAAAAACCCAGGAATCAGGGGAGCCTGCAGACTTTCTGCAGAGCCAAGGCATGCTTGTCGGATCTCATCATAAAAACATCAGGCTCTTATTCCACATGTTTTTCTTTCATTCTCCTAGTAATTTGTTTTTATTGTATTTTACAAAAGTGTTGGTCCGTGTGAGGAGTCCCTCGGGGGTGCAGAATGGCTAAGTAGTTGGCTGCTAACCAAAAGGTTGGAGGTTCCAGTCTATCCAGAGGCACCTCAGAAGAAAGACCTGGTGATCTGCTTCCAAAAATTCATCCACTGGAAACCTCATGGAGCACAGTTCTACTCTGACACACGCAGGGTAGCCATGAATTAGAGTCGACTCAGCAACAGCTGGGCTTTAGTTTTGGTTCCTGTCATACCGGAAGTGCAGAGTGAGGGAAGCTCATTGTGGAGACAGCCTGTGATGACATCGTCACTGAATGTTCCTGTGGGGACAGGTGCAGCTCAGGGTGCAGGCGGGACTGCATGGTGGCAGGGTCTGGAGGCCTTGGAGGCAGAGAAGCAGAGTTGGGGTCTGGGGCCCACTGAGAACCGTGAGCACCCTGGTCCCAGGCTGCACTGGCCTCTGGGGTATCACAAGCCCCAGCAGAGGTGCCTCTGACTTCAGTAAGTGCCAGGGCCATCTTCTTCCTATGACTGCCCTTCTTCCTGCTCCATCCAAGCACAGCGCATAGCATCTTGGGCTTCTTGGAGCCCGTGGGCGGCTGCCAGCTTTGGCAACAGGCAGCCATCATTCTCTGCAGAGCCAGCAAGCTTCCTCCTAACAGTGCTGCTCCTCAGCTCCACAGCCCCAGAAAGGGAGCAACCCCTCCCTAACCCTCCTCATCACGCACAGGCTGATTCCTCTGCCTGTTCAGGCAGGAAATCAGGGTCACCTGCTGGCCAAAAGGAAAACTGCACAGCTGACTTTGTGCTTCTGTAACCAGAGGCGTGGTGGTGCAAAAGGTTAAGCACTCTGCTGCTAACGGAAAGGTTGACAGTTTGCACCTCGGAAGAAAGGCCTGGCGATCTACTTCCAAAAAAACAGCCATTGAAAATCCCATGGAGCACAATTCTACTCTGACGTACGTGGGGTTGCCATGAGTTGTGGTAACTGTTGTTTTGTTTTCAACCAGAGGAGCCCTCCACTTGGGGTCCCCTGCTGGCTTATGAGGTGGGGAGGGGCAAGCCGGGAAGGAATTTGCAGCCTGCCCCTGCCACCAAGGCAGAGGCCAGCTTTCCTGATCCATTAGTGCCTTTATGGAGGCCAGATGTGGTAAAACCTGTTATTCTTCCAAAGTTGTGACAGGTATTAGGAAAACCACCACCAAAGGGCAAAGAGCCCTGACTGGAACCTCTGTGTGGAGCCTTCTCTCTGGGCAAAGGCCTCAGGAGCTGGGCTGGGCTTTCCCTCCTGCTGCTCAGGGTCTGACTTTTAATTGCCCTTTGCTTGAGTAGAGTGGAGTTTAAACTCTGTCATGGAAATAGTGAGCGATAGCACTGCCTAAGGCAAGAGAATCAGCAGCCTCGTAGACTGAGGGTTTTAGGCCTGATGAGCGCACAGAACTCAGCTTTCCAGAGGCAGAGTGCTTGTAGTCCTTTCCTGCCTTGTTTTTCTGGGCCCAAATGTTGGAGCCTTTTCCATATGATCAAACTGTATATGTCGTTTCCTATCCTTTCTTCACTTAATATCATGACAGAAGCATATTGCATGCTTTTGTTATTGTTATTATTGTTGTTAGTTGCCATCAAGTCAGCTCTGACTCATGGCTACCTTACATTTGAGTCCATTATTGTGGCTAGTGTGTCAGTCCATCTCACTGAAGGTTTGCCTCATTTTTGCTGACCCTCTACTTTATTAAAAATGATGTCCTTTCCTAAGCGGTCAGTCTTTCCTGATGATGCGTCCAAAATGAGCAAGCCGAAATCTCGCCATCGTCACTTCTAAGGAGCATTCTGGTTGTATTTCTTCTAAGACAGATTTGTTCATTCTTCAGTATTCTTTGCCAACACCACAATTCAAATGTATCAGTTCTTCTGTCTTCCTTTTTTATTGTCCAGTTTTCACATGCATATGAGACGATTGAAAAGACCATGGCTTGGATCAGGCACACATTAGTCATCAGAGTAACGTCTTTGCTTTTTTTTTTTGTCTTTGCTTTTTTTTTTTGTAATACTTTATTGTGTTTTTGTGAAAGTTTACATAACAAATTAGGTTCCCATTTAACAATTTCTATATATATTTTTCAGTGACATTGGTTACATTTTTTCACAATGTGTCGGCATTCTCATTTCTGTCTTGGTTGTTCCATTTCCATTGATCTAGTTTCCCTGCCTCCCCTTACCTTCTCATCTTTGCTTTAGGTTAAATATTGACAGTTTGGTCTCATACAGATGATTTTTTTTAAAGGAGCACAGTAAGTACTCATGAGTGACTTGTTTATTTTATGAGCCAATCTGTTATTTAGCTGAAAGGTGACCTCCAGGAGTGGTTTCAGTTGAAAGTTTAAAGGATATCTCAGAGCAATAGTCTCAGGTGCTCTTGTTGCCAGGAACTGCGAGTTCTGCTCCGTACAACTCCAGCAGGGCCAAAAAGACGAAGACCGAGTTGGGGAGAACGAAAGGCAACTTTATTGGTTAGCCAAGCAAGGAGACAGCCGGGGCTGCGTGCCATCCAAGACTGCCTCGCTGGCAGCTTGTTGAGTCCGGTTTATATAGGCAGGATCAGTTTCAGAATGCAAAATGGTGCGTGCACAGGTGCGGGGCGTTTTAGAACAAGTAAGCATTTTCTAAGGCCCAGGTCCAATTCCCCGCGCAGGAGGAAGTTAGTCATTTTTGTTCATTAGCATGTTAGCTCTCCACCCAGGAGCGAAGAGTTTACAATGCATGAGGTGGTTAATGAGCTAAAGGTCATCTGGAGTGCCAAGACTGGGGGCACGACTGGTTTTAGCCAGCCCATGGCTGTTTCTCTTCAAGGAGGTTCTGAGGAGGAAAAGAAGCAACTCCAGGAAATAGTCTGGGTGAGGGGCCGTCTTGAGGCTAAGAAAAAATGGCTCTATGGCTTTACCCTGTCTTATTCTAGTCTCTACTGGTCCAGTAAGTCTGGCCTTTTTTAAGAATTTGAGTTTTGTTCTACATTTTTCTCCCAGGACTGGGACCATCTACTGTGTCCCTGGTCAGAACAGTCAGTGGTGGTAGCTGGGCACCATCTAGTTCTTCTGGTTTCCGGGTAGATGAGGTTGTGGTTCATGTAGACTGTTAGTCCTATAGACTAATTTCTTCTTTGAATCTTTTCCTATCTCTTTTGCTTCAGATGAGTAGAGACCAATAGTTGTATCTTAGGTGGTTGCTCACAAGCTTTTAAGACCCCAGATACTACTCACCAAACTAGGATATAGAACAGAAACTTTATGAAGTATGTTATACCAGTTGACCTAGTTGTCCCACAAGACTGTGGTCCTAAACTTTCAAACCCAGTAAACCAATCTCACGAGGTGTTTACGTCTAGGAAGTACCTATAACTGTACCTCTTATGTGCTTTATTATGTATATGAATATATTTGCAGCGCACACATACACATGCCTGCAGATACACTTATACATGCATACATGTATACACATATATACCTTCCTGTCGACATATATGCATGCATATTTACCCGTGTAACCACAAACATTTTGTGTTGTTATTGCCGTTGTTGCAAAATTGTGTATGTTATAGCATTTACCAAAAATTGCCTTATTCTTGTGTGCTTCTTAGTGTCACTATTTACCTTGGTCAAGTTGTACACACTTCACTCACCTTCATTATTGGCTTTCCTATCACCAAAAATAACAAAGTTAATTATCTAGAGAGTGATTCTCCCTTCCTCCCCCTCCCATCCTGGTAACCACCAATGAACATTGATTTCTGTATATATACCTATTCTTGTCTTTTTATAAAGTGGGATCATACAATATTTATCCTTTTGTGATTGACTTATTTCACTCAGCATAATGTTCTCCAGATTCATCCATGTTATAAGCTGTTTTGAGAACTCATCATTTTTCCTTATAGCTGCATAGTATTCCATTGTATGTATGTACCACATTTTATTTGTCTGTTCATCCGTTAATGGGCACTTAGGTTGTTTCCATCTTTTTGCTATTGTGAATAGTGCTGCAGTGAACACAGGTGTGCATATGTCTTTTCGTATCACTTCTGTTAGGTCTCTTGGGTATATACCTTGGAATGGGATTATTGGATTATAAGGTTGTTCTATTTATAGTTTTTTGAGAAAGTGCCGTACCATTTTCCATCGAGGTGGTACCATTTTGCATTCCTACCAGCAGTGTATAAGGGTTCCAGTCTTCCCACATCATCATCAGAATTTGTTGTTTTCTGTTTTTTTGATCAGTGTCATTTTAGCAGGGGTGAGATGATATCTCAGTGTAGTTTTGATTTGCATCTCTCTAATGGCTAGTGATCGCAAACATCTTTTCATGTGTTTGTTGGCCGCTTGAATGTCCTCTTTGGTGAAATGTCTGTTCATGTCTTTTGTCCATTTTTTAATTGGATTATTTGTCTTTTTGTTGTTGAGTTGTCGGAGTTTTCTGTATATCTTAGAGATTAGATCCTTATTGGATATGTCATTCCCAAAGATTTTTTCTAAGTCTGTAGTTGTTTTTTTACTCTTTTGATAGTCCTTTGATGAGCGTAAGTATTTTTATGAGGTCCCAGTTATCTAATTTGTTTTCTGCTGTTCATGCATTTATACTTGTGTTTGTTAGTTAATTTTTTTTTAAAGATTAGGTCCCATAGTTTTGTTGCTAAGTTTTCTTCCAAGAACTTTATAGTTTTAAGTTTAACATTTGGTCCATTTTGAATTAGTTTTTGTGTGTGGTGTAAGGTATGGGTACTGTTTCATTTTTCTGCAAGTGGATAATCCAGTTTTGCCAGCACCATTTATTAGAGACTGTTTCTTCCCCATTGAATAGACTTTGACCCCTTGTCAAAAATCAGTTGTCTGTAGATGGATAGACTTATTTCTCGGTTCTCAATTCTGTTCCACTGGCCTGTGTGTCTGTCGTTGAGCCAGTACCAGGCCGTTTTGGTAACTGTAGCTGTATTATATGTTTTGAGGTCAGGGAGTGTGAGACCCCCTACTTTGTTCATCTTCAATTTGCTTTTGCTATTCATGGCCTCTTTCCTTTCCATATGAAGTTGGTTATTAGTTTTTCCATTTCAGAAAAGAAGGTTGTTGGGATTTGGATTGGGATTGTATTGTATTTATCAGTCGCTTTGGGTAGTGTTAGAGCCCTGGTGGCACAGTGGTTAAGAGCTCAGCTGCTAACAAAAAGGTCGGCAGTTTGAATCCACCAGCCGCTCCTTGGAAACCCTACTGGGCAGTTCTGCTGTGTCCTGTAGGGTCACTATGAGTCGGAACTGACTCGACGGTAATGAGTTTGGGTTTTTTTTTTTTTTTTGGTTGGATAGTATTGACATTTTCACAATATTAAGTCTTTCAATCTGAACGCGGAATGTCCTTCCATTTAGTCTCTCATAATGTAGTAATGTTTTGTAGTTTTCATTGTATAAGTCTCCTACATCCCTAGTTAGGTTTATTCCTAGGTATTTTATCATTTTGGAGGCTGTTGTAAATGGTATTGATTTCTTGATTTCCTTTTCAGAATTCTCAGACTTCTCAGTCAAAGAACCCAACTGATTTTTGTGTGTTGATCTTGTACCCTGCAGCGTTGCTGAATTCTTGTATTAGATCCAGAAGTTTTCTTATGGAATCTTTGGGATTTTCTATGTATAGGATCATGTCATCTGTGAATAGGGATAGTTTTACTTCTTCCTTTCTGATTTGGATACCCTTTATTTCTCTTTCTTGCCTGATTGCTCTGGCTAGGACTTCCAGCATGATATTGAATAAGAGGAATGATAATGGGCATCCTTGTCTTGTTCTTGACGGGGAGGATCTTAGCCTTTCTCCATTTAGAATAATGTTGGCTATTGGTTTTACATATGTGCCCTTAATTATGTTACAGAATTTCCCTTCTATTCCTATTTTGCTGAGAATTCTGTTCTTTATGTCTATATTTTGTTGTTTCAAGAATTTTATATAGACCACAACTACCACGGCCTCCACCAGACTGAGTCCAGTACAATTAGATGGTGCCTGGCTACCACCACTGACTGCTCTGACAGGGATCACAACAGAGGGTCCCAGACAGAGCTGGAGAAAAATGTAGAACAAAATTCTCGCAAAAAAGACCAGACTTACTGGCCTGACAGACACTGGAGAAACCTGAAGAGTATGGCCTCCGGATACCATTTTAGTTCAGTAATGAAGTCTCTCCAGAAGTTCACCCTTCAGCCAAAGATTAGACAGCCCCATAAAACAAAATGAGACTAATGGGGCACAACAGTCCAGGGACAAGCACTAGAAGGCAGGAGGGGACAGGAAAGCTGGTAACAGGGAACCTAAGGTCGAAAAGGGATGGTGTTGACATGTCGTGGGGTTGTTAACCATTGTCATAAAACAGTATGTGTACTAAAGTACTGTTTAATGAGAAACTATTTGTTCTGTAAACCTTCATCTAAAGTACAGTTTTTAACAAAAAAGAATTTATATAAATAAAATCATTCAATATGTAATTTTTGGGAGTGGCTTTTTTCACTGAGCATTATTCTTTGGAGATCCATCCAGGTTATTGTATGTATCAATAGTTGGTTCTTTTTTATTGCTAAGAATTATCACCTTCCATGCACAAGACCAATTCCCGGCCAGTGCACTTCGTGTGCAGCCACCATCCATCTGTTGGGAGATTTGTCTGGTGCTCTGCTGCTAAACAGGTTTCAGTGGAGCTTCCAGGCTATGTTGGGCTAGGAAGAAAGGCCTGGTGATCTACTTTTGAAAATCAAATCACAACAGTCTGATCTGTGACCGATCATAGAGATGGCACAGGACTAGGTGGCATATCATTCTGCTGTGTATGGCATTGTGTGAGTCAGAGGTCAACTTGACAGCAGCCAACAACAACAGTGTCCCATGGTGTAGATGTATCACAGTGTGTTTAACCTTTCACCTGCTGAAGGACATCTCAGTTGTTTCCGATTTTTAACTATTGCAAGTAAAGCTACTGTAGACATTCATGTACAGGCTTTTGTGTGAACACAAGTCTTCATTTCTCTGAGATAAATGTCCAGGGGTGCAATTGCTGGGTCATTTGATAGTTGCATGTTTAGTTGTAAAAATCACTTTTACTATCAGTTTCTTTGTCAAGAAAATAGATCATAATTCATTTAATTGCACTATCACTGGGTATATATTGTTTCTAATTAATGCACAATTATTAATAATTCTATAGTCAGTGCTTAAATTATTTTTGCATTTCCAGTTTTTTCTTTAGGGTAGGTTCCTGTGAGTGAATTTGCTCCATTTCAGAGTATGTTAGTTTCTTTGTCTGCTGTAACAGAAATATCATATAAGTGGGAGGCTTTAAAGATAAATTTATTTTCTCACAGTTTAGGAGGCTAGAAGTCTGAATTGAGCGTGTCAGCTCTAGGGGAAGACCCTCTGTCGGCTCTGGGGGAAGGTCCTTGTCTCTTTCAGTGCCTGTAGTCCCGGGATTCCTCAGTTCTTTGTTGATCCTCATGTGGCATCTGTCTTCCCTCATTTGTGCTTGTTTGTCTCTGCATCTCTGCTGCTCTTTATATCACTCAGAAGTGATTAGGTTTAGAACACGCCTTACACTGATGTGACCTCATTAGCATAACAAAGAAACCCCTATTCCCAAACAGGATGACATCCACAGGTATAGGGGTCAGGACTCCAACACATGTTTTGGGGAGACACAATTCAATCTCTAACACAGGTGCAAGGCTCTTGGTCCACATTGCCAAACTGATGTTTTAAGTGCTGACAACACAGTTGTTGTCTTGGTTTATCCAGTTGGTAGCTCAGAGGTGTGACAATGCTTCCCGGCTGGGCGGGGCCTGTGCAGGCCTGTACTGGGGCTGTCTAGAGAATGAGGGGAGCAGGGAGAGTGACAGAAGCCTGAGCTCGCTCTGGTCGGTGCTTCTCTAACCATCCCTCCATCATGCCCAGCAGTGCTGGATGCCGAGGGCCTGGCACGGAGCTTCTTTACCCAGCTCTGGGACGTGTGCAACCGGTGGCAGAAGGAGGCGCCATCACCTGCCAGTACTCTTCAGCGACAGTGGCTGGTCTCCATCCACGCCGTCCGGAACACACGCCGCAAGATGGAGGATCGGCATGTGTCACTGCCGGCGTTCAACCAGCTCTTCGGCCTGTCTGTGAGTACTCCCCTCCAGGGCACAGGGCTGGGTAGGGGGTGCATGAGTACAAGCTGCTACCCCAGGACTCGGGTGCTGGGTGACTTGCAAGACACCTCCAGGCAGGTGTGGGAGCCCCAACTTCCAGATCAGCACCTTTGGGCCAGGGCAGCCGCCTGGCTGAGGACCTAAAGAACAGGGAATGGTTTGCCCAAGTCTGTTACTAGGAAAGGGCCCTGGGTGCCACGTTCACTTGACGGGTGATTGTGGGCCCTGTTCAGTCCTAACACTGGGAGCTGCCCAGGGCATCCAACCTCACCCTACGTCCCCAGCAGCTCAATGCCAAAGGTAAGACTGAGGCTCAAGGGTTGTCCTTTTCCAAGCTCACCTGTCTCGTAAGTGCTAGAGCCAGGCTGACCTGTCAGATCCCAGAGGTCACGCAGATTCTCCCAAACCCTGCACCTCTCAGGCAGCTCTCAGTCAGCTCTCGGTCAGGACTTGAGGCCAACAGGTTTGGAAATCCCACTGCCTTCCCCACCAGGACCCTGTGGACCGTGCCTACTTTGCTGTGTTTGACGGTCACGGAGGGGTCGACGCCGCAAAGTTTGCCGCAATGCACATGCACACCAATGCTGCCCGCCAGCCAGGGCTGCCCTTGGACCCTGCAGGCACCCTCAGGGAAGCCTTCCGGCTCACCGACGAGATGTTTCTCCGGAAAGCCAAGCGAGAGGTGAGAACCACAGGCGAGGGCAGTTTGGGGCCCCTAGCACTGGGAGAGGCTCAGCCTCCACAGAGGGCAAGAAACCTCAGTGGATCGCCACTGATGACCATGTCACTCCTATTCTCACAGTAAAACTTGAGTGGATGCAGCACAGAGCTTGCCCCAGATCTGGAACACTGGCCCCTCAGCAGCCTGTACCTGCCTCACTGCAGAAGGTGCATAGGCTGCTTGGGGAAAGCAGCCCCATCTCCACTCTACTTTTCTGGACAAAGTACCTGTAGGCCATTGTTGTCCACTGGGAATGTTCTCTCTCTGGGAGTTACAGCCACTTAAAGAAGAAACAGTGTTCTAGACCTCTCCTGTGTGAACTTACCTGAGCTCACCTACCTGAGTAAACTTACTCCCTTGAACCTTAGCCTCACCTACAGAATTGCATGGGGTCCTCCCAGTAGCCCTGTGAGGTAAATACCAATATCTTCTGTGAGGTAAATACCAGTATCTCCCTCATTTTAAACACTATGAGACTGAGACTCAGAGAGCTTAAAAGACCTGTCTGAGTTGACGCAGCTCGTCAGTAGCAGTGGCTGGATTGGACCAGATTGTGACATTCAAGCCTGAGCCGTGGGGGGGCAGGAGCATGGCAGTCGTACACCCAGAGCTCAGATCCTAGCAAAATCCACATAGCTAGCCTCTGCACTTTCACAGATAGCTGCGTGGCATCTAGAGGTATACAGGGGACACCAGTGAGCAGCTGATACCTCGACCCTCCTAGGCACTGGCACACCCAGGAGGGGAAGAAAGGCTCTGAGCTTGGGGTGCCTCTGGGGTAGAGAAATGATTCTCTGAAGCAGGCATTTGGTTTTCTTAAGGTTTTTTTCTTTAACAGCTTATTGATATGTAATAAACTATACATATTTAAAATGTACAGTTTGATAACTTTTGGCCTGTGTACACACCCAACAGCGATTGTGAGGATGGTGCAGGACTGGGCAGTATTTCGTTCTGTTGTACATGGAGTCATTATGAGTCGGAACCAACTCAGTGGCACCTAACAACAACACACCCAGAAACCCTTACCACAATCAAGATTATGAACATATTCATCAACCCCAAAGGCTTGCTCCCGCCACTTTGCCATCCCTGCCCATGTGGCCACTGACCTGCTTTCTGACACTGTGGGTTAGTTTGCATCTTCAGAATTTGATGTTTTGTGGATAAACTTTGTGGATAAAAATCAGCACGAATCCTACCCCCAAAATGTGGAGATTGATCCAGTCTCTACCTTCCCGCTTCTCTGTCATTTCCCACACCAGCTGCCCCATGTGGCATACTCTCTCTCTGACCCAAGTCACCTGGAACTAGGGCAGATCTCACAGGTGAAAAGCACACTGTTTTTAAGACTGCCAAATACAAAACCCTCACTTTCACCTGCTAGCTTTCCCTTCTCCTTTGGGTTTGCAAATTTGCTGGAATGACTCACAGAACTCACAGACAGTATGATTATAGATTTATTATAGCAAAAAGATACAAATCAGGATGGTCATAAGGAAGAGACATAGGTGAGGTCTGGGAAGGTTCTCAATGGGATTCCCATCCTTCACCAACCAGAAAGCTCTCTGAGTCTAAGGGTTCCAGGCTTTTATCAGCCAGCCCTGCATAGTAGGCTAAATCATGCCTACTGAGGCTAGTTGGTATCAGCCTTCCAGGTGAGTCTTTTCTGGTCTGGCCAGCCCCCACTCGCCAGCACAATTCCTTAGGTGTGGCCTGGAAGTCTCAGATCAAGGCATCCCAGTTACTCCGTGAGTTGTTTCTCAGGAACCAAGGACAAAGGCTACCTTGCTTTGCACAAAGTAGAATTCTTGGCCCCACAGATGTGAATAGAATCATGCAGGGTGTGCTCTTCCTCCATGCAGCAGGATCGATTTGAAACTCACCTGTGCTGTTGCAGGTGTCGGTGGTCCCTTCCGCCTGATTGCTGAGCGTTGTTCCAGTGCCATGCAGGCCGGATGGGTATGTACAGGCACTCAGCCATTCTCAGCCCCATGTACCCTCTCTCCCTGCAGCGGCTGCAGAGCGGCACCACAGGTGTATGCGCACTCATCGCAGGAAGCACCCTGCATGTCGCCTGGCTCGGGGACTCCCAGGTCATCCTGGTGCAGCAGGGACAGGTGGTGAAGCTGATGGAGCCCCACAGGCCTGAGCGACAGGTAAGGTGCTCCCTCACTGCAGCTCAGGATGTCCCCAGACCCCACTGTGCTGGGCAGCACACGGGCCTGCCCTGAGTGCCAGTGCTGGGTCCCCAGCCTGGGGAGCACATGGGGCGCAGGTCAGGAAGCCCTGCTGGGTGTTTGCTGGGGCAGATGCGAAAGTAAAAGAGGCTCTGGGCCATCTTCCCAGTAGGTTTCTGCTGCTTCTCCTGCCAGACTTGAGTGGCTAGGGTCCCCTAATACTTGAGGTTTTAACAGCCAGCAGTCCCAGGTGAGCTGTTCCCAGAGCTTGGTGTGTCACCGTGACCATGAGCCCTCTGCCCCGGGGCAGCCCAGTGAATGGAGTCCCCGTGTACAGCCCCACCATGCATGCAGGGCCAGGGACGGCCGGCCACACACAGGCAGCCGGAGAGGAGGTGATGCTAAACCAAGGCAGGAAGGAAGCCGCTACACAGGGGCCCCAGGACTCTCCAGAGGACCTCAGTAGGCTCTGTGCCCCAACAAGGCACATGCCAGCCCAAGCCTTGCTGTCCTCACCTGGGCCTGAGGGTGACATTCCTACTTTGGGCCCCATCTCACGGAACTCTCCAGTCCCTTTGTTTCTTGAGGTCATACAGCAGTAGTTTAGACATCAAGAAGTGCCTGTGTGTCTCCTCTGTCCTGCTTTTTTCACACTACTCTGCCCTGGCTTCTCCCACTTAGCCGTGTGTTTTATGGGTCATTCTCTGTCGACACGTCAGGAGCTTCCTGACATCCGTTGCACAGATGCACCAGAAATGCCAGTAATCCCTTGTCCATGGACATTCAATTTTTCTGGTCTTTTGGTATTAAAAACAATGCAGCACTAAATAACTGTGTACAGCATTGCATTGGTCAAGGTCAAGTATATCTGTAGAATATACACATTCCTAGAAGTAGGACAGCTGGATTGGAAAGTGTACACATTCACAGCTTTGGAGGGTTTGCCACAGCACCCTCCTTAGGCTATGCCAGGGTGATTTTTGCCCGTGTGGCTGAGAACGCGTTCCCCCACAACCCCACCCAGTGTGCTGTCAGCTGCAGGGTGTCTTCCCGTCTGAAAGGTGAGAATGGTGTCTCAGGCAGTCATTTAGTTTGCATTTCTGTTACTCAGAGCGAGGTTGAGCATCTTTCTGAATGCTCAAGATCATTATCTTGCCTGCCCTGTGAACTCTCTGTTCCTATCCTTTGCCCATTTTTTTCCTGAGCCATGGCTCTTTTTCTTACCAATTTTCGGGAGTTCCTGGGTGGGGTAAACGGTTAATGCACTTGGCTGCTAATGTAAACGTTGGTGGTTCGAGTCCATCCAGCAGCGCCTCGGGAGAAAGGCCTGGAGATCGCCTTCCAAAATATCAGCCAGTGAAAACTCGATGGAGCAGTTATACTCTGCACACATAGGGTCGCCATGCGTCAGGGTTGACTCGACAGCACCTGGTTTTCTATAGATTAGGGAGGTTGGCTCCTGATCTGTGCAGTGATTTGCAAGTATTTTCCCCCAGTTCACCACTTTTCTTTGTTTATGGGCTTTTGCCATGTAGAAGTTTTGGTTTTGACGTGGCTGACTCGAGCAGTCTTTTATTTTGTGGCTTGTGGATTTGGAATGTCCAGCAGGAAATATCAGGCGGTGGTAATGGTAACAGTCTAGAATAACAACATCTCTTGGTCTCACGGCACAGCTCACAGTCTGTGCTACATGTTATCCCCATTACATAGAGGAGGAAACTGAGGCTCAGGAAGACTAAGTAAGTTGCCCAGAGCACACGGCCTCCTCTGCCACCACCAGAACTGAGGGACTCACCGCCTCGTTCCTGCTGTGCCCTCTTGCCCCAAGATCTGTGGTCAGGGGAAAGATGGCCCAAGTTGGGATCAGATGCCAGCTACTGGCTCTGTGCTGCACCCACTCCCTCCTGCCTGCTCCAACCCCGCGAGCTCAGTGCCCAGCGTCTCCCCTGAAACCCAGTGGGGACTTTTCCCTGGCAGCATTTTCCAAAGACTACCTGAGCTCCTCCCAGGTTCAATCCTGGCTCCATTCTCCCCAAGCCTTGGTCTCCTCCTCTTAAAACAAGGCTCCCGGGAGGTTTGGGGTGAGGACCAAGTGGGCTGATGCATGTGGCATGTTGAGAGCAGGGCCTGCATTGGGGGAGCCTACAAGGCTCCTTAACCAGCAGCCACACCAGACTGCAGAGACAAGAGCCCAGCTCGAGCGGGAGCTGCCGCTTCTGAATCTCCCACTATGACCCTGTTCACAATCATCACCTGCACAGACCCGGCCAAACATTTACCCACAACAGTGGTTACGAAAGCAGGGAAACTGGTCCCAACCTGTTGTTGTTAGTGCATCAAGTCGGCCCCTGACTCACAGCAACCCCACACACAATGGAACGAAACGCTGCCCGGTCCTGCGCCATTCCCATGGTCGGTTGTAGATTGGACTGTTGTAATCCAGATGGTTTTCATTCGCTGATTTTCAGAAGCAGATCGCCAGGCCTTTCCTCCTAGTCTGTCTTAGTCTGGAAGCTTTGCTGAAACCTGTTCAGCATCATAGCAACACACAGGCCTCCACTGACAGATAGATGGTGGCTGCGTATCAGGTGCATTGGCCAGGAATCGAACCAGATCTCCCTCACGGAAGGTGAGAATTCTACTACTGAACCGCCGCTACCTCATGATAACAACCTAGTGAACAAAAATAAGGGTAGCAAGTGTCCAGCAGCTGCTGAAATCAGTTCTCAAGGAATCTGTAGGGACCCTCTGTGACATTCTGCAGCTATCTGAGCAGTCTCTCCTCCCACTAGGTTCAATTCATCCCAGCAAACATTTAGCACCTACTGATCACAATGGTCCAATCCACAACCAATCACGGGGATGGTGCAGGACTGGACAGTGTTTGTGCATGGATTCCATTGTACATGGATTTGCCGTGAGTCGGGGCTGACTCCACAGTAGCTAACAACAACAACATAATTTACAAAGTGCTTTGCCGAGGCAGTAAGATAATAAACTAGGACTACCTTCCTCCTGGTGATGCTCGGTCTAGTAGGGGCAGCAAGGCTGGCAGGTGAAGGTGTCAGGACCAGGGCAGGCAAGTGCTGGGGGAAGATGGAAGAGAAAGAAGTGAACTGAAGTGAGGCATGTGGGAAGCTGCTTAGTAGCCACAGAGCTTGACAACGGGCGTGACTTCAGAGGCTAGGTAGGCCAGGAGGAAGGTGCAGGCCAGGACTCTGCACCTGTGGGGAATGGGGAGGCACAGCAGCTGCCTGCAGCTAGGGCATCAGGCAGCACCACAAGTGTCTGAAATGACCAGATCCCTGGAGGCTGGATTGAGGGTGAAGCCAGAACCCCATGGGCTGTGCCATCGTGGGCGAGCCATGATGAGGACTGGTCTGGCGAGGCGGCATCAGAGAGGCAAGGGGAGAAAGGAGTCCTAGATGTGGAGATGACAACGTGGAGGAGCATCAGGAGCCTCCGAAGGTGGCACTGCTAGGCAGGCTGGAAGAGTGAGGTGGGACAGCTATGAGTGTAGGCCCTCGAAGCCAGCATCTCAAGGCTGACATTGGGCGAGGGGGGAGGGCTGAGACAGTAGGTCTGAGCCAAGGCTTCATTGTTAACAGAGTGTATGGGGAGTGTGGGCCAGTAGGAAATCAGGAGAGGCTTCCAGGAGGCCAGGCAGCTTTGGGGCTGACCACAGTGCCAGCCAAGCCCAGGAGGAGCATGCACCTGCTTGGGCAGTGTGCCAGTGAGCCAGCTCTTGAGCATCCCAAGAGGAGAGCCTGAGGAATCCTGTCGACATCAGACATGCAGCTGTGCAGGCAAGTGACATCCTGGCTTTCTGCTGTACAGAGGCCAAGACCCACACTTGGTGGGTGCAGGTGGCTGTTAGTGGGAGCAAGCTGGGCTCGTGCATTCAGGGTTCGACCTTAGAGGAATTGTTTCAGGGAGGTGGAGAGGACAATGGGGGAGGATTAGTTGGTGGGTTGGGGCCCAAAGACATGGGAAGTGAGGACGGTAGCACTCTGAGCCCGTAGACCACATGTAGTCCTGGTCCCAGCTGTGGCAGTGTGCCATCACGATGTGTACCAAGATGGGAGCCACAGGTGTCTGGGAGGGGCAGGGCCCTGGGAGAGCCAGTGGAGGGCCTGCCGGCAGTGTCCACCTTGTGCTCCATTGGGGCCAGGTCAGGACTTGACTGGGGCTCCAGGCGCTTACTGGAAGACAGATGTCTGCAGCTAGCAGAGCCTGGCCTCCACGGCCCTCTAGCTGCAGGGAGGAGGGGTGGGGAGCGCCTGGAGACCCCGCCCCAGGGAGGGGGAGGGAGATGCCCCCATGGAGTCCCTGCAGAGGCTCTGAGTGCCTCTGCACCCCCTCACCAAGGGCCAAGGCCAATGGGTGTGCATCTACTGCAAGGGGGTGCCACCGGCCCACCCCCTGCCGGGGCACCCGGAGTAGGGTCATTGGTTCAAGGGGCTGAGCAGACAAAAGGGGTGGACATGTGGGAGGAAAGAGCCAAGAAAGGTTCAGGATTCTCACAATGTATCTGCCCAAACATGTCCGCTGGAGTGCCCTGGGGCTGGATGAGTGCAGGGCCTCTTCCTGGGGGAAAGCCACGGATCATGCATTCCCTCTCCGTGGGCATGTGGAGTGTGCATGTGTGTGAAGTGTGTGTATGGAGTGCATGTGTTTGCGTGTGTGAGCTGTGTGGTGTGTGTGTATATGTGAGTTGTGTGTCATGAGTGTGTTTGCATGTGTGGTGGGTGTGTGCATGTAAGTTATGTTGTGTGTGTGTGTGTGCGTGAGTTGTGTGGTGTATACACGTGCGTGTCCCTCCATCTGGCCCAGTTTGCCCAGCCCCCTCACCCTTCCAGCCTTCTAGCTTTCTTCCTTCCCTTTCTCTATCACAGCTCTCAGACCACAGTGGAATCCCAGACCTGTAGGGAGCCTCCCTGGTCACACTGTCCTGCCCCCTTCACAGTGTAAGAATGCCCTGGCCCTGGTGGACCAGTGGCTGCTTCTCCTGCTGGGCAGCCCCACCCTCTAGGTGCTGCTCTGCAGAGGGTCTGGTGAGAGCTGCCCACCGCAGGCTACAGGAGATGCTTAGCCGGTCTGTGCTGTCCGACCTGCATTGCTGTCCTTTCCTCCTCGGCCTTCTCACAGAGGCCTAGCCGGGGGCCAGCAGCCCGCACCTCTGCCCCACATGGGTGGGGGTAGGGGTGTAGAAGTGCGTCACATCTGTAGAAGGAGACATCTCTTCAGGTGAAGGGCCCACCTCCATAGTCCTAGAGAGTCTGCCCAGAGGACACTGTACCCTGTGGCACTGGGGGCTCCTGGTTGAGGAAGGGGGGCCTCTGACCTCTTGGGCAGCCAGGTGCCCAGCAGGGTCAGGGGGAGGGCAACAGAAATGAGTACCTGGCATCACCAGGTGCGGCTCTGCCCCTTTATTAATGAGAAACTAACAAGCAAGAGGGATGAGAGGCACCCTCCTGTAGCAGCTCCAGTGGACAGGGAGACGCCTTGTGCTGGGGAGACGCCTTGCACCCGGGAGCCTGTGGGCCACGTTCCATTGGATGGTGCCGTTGTTCCCGCCCTTCAGGGAGATTTGTATGACCAGAGGTTTTTGGAGGAAGTGACAGCCATGCCCAGCCTCTGTCCCGGCTTCACTGAGGAAGCACGGCTGTCCCCGGCAGCGCGCCAAGACCATTACTCAGAAGGAACTTGGGTTGAGAAGGAGGAAAAATGAGCAAGCCCTTGGCTGCTTGTTCAGGGCGTGCTCAGGGTTTGCCAAGCCTTGGCCTGTGGTCATGCGCATCACATGCTTCACCGTGTTGTCCAGCAGCTTGCAACAGAGGGCAGTTATCCTCATGTCAAAGGTGGAAGCCGAAGGCCTTTTATCTGACTCTAGGGCTCACACTCATTTTATGGCCTCATGAGCATTTCCCTGACCTCTGAACACTCATGGAAGTCCCTGGGTAGGGGAAATGGTTAGCACTTGGCTGTTAACCCAAAGGTTGCCAGCTTGAGTCCACCCAGAGTCACCTCAGAAGAAAGGTCTGGCAATCTACTTCTCAAAAATCAGCCATTGGAAACAACCCTATGGAGCACAGTTCTACTCTGACATACATGGGTTTGCTGTCAGCCTTTTTTTTTTTTTTTTTTAAGTGTTATATGTATTTTGGAGCCCTGGTGACTCAGTAGTTACGAGTTCAGCTTCTGTTAGTGGTGGTTACATGATTATATGCATTTGTCGGAATTCATAGATCTAAATTTATAGGTCGTAGACCAGAATTTATAGACCTAAAAAGGGTGAATTTTACTGTATGTAAATTATACCTCAATACAGCTGAGTTAAAAAAGGGTCCATTTGTGACTTCCTAAGTATCATACTGATGCTGAATAAACTTTCATTAGAAACTCGATGCAAACAAGCATGGGGAGGTGGGCAGGTGGAGAAAAGGAGGAGTGATCTCTTTGCTTTTCAAATAACTAGTCCAGATCCTGCACTAAGGCTGCTTTTCTCTGTGCAGGAAACAGATGCCCTTAGTCAACAGCCCCATGACTGACATTTACCATGACCCCTAGTAAATGTCCTCCATCCAGTGGATACTGGGACATGAAGCGTCAAATAACTGCTGGGCTTGTATTTGTTTGCTGGGTTTGAAAGATCTCTCAACCATGTCACAGTTCACAGTGGCTGTTTCGTTGTTTATAATAAGTATGAGGATGAATATATAGTCATTGATGCAGATCTGTAGGGCTCTGCAGCACACACCCAGTAGGATCCAATAACGGATAAATGCCCATTGGTCACCATGATGGGGTTGGTACTATTGACATTGCACATGAAAACTCCACTCACTCTAGTTGCTAAAAAAGGATAGTCAGTACCATTTTGTTCACAGCATGGAACTTCTTTGGAGTCCTAGGACCAACAGACTGTATTCCAAGGGCATAACATTTCTAATGCAGAGTTTTGGAGCTCACTATTTAATTTGGGAAACCAGATCTAATTATAATCAAGAGCCTTGGAATATTTTTTAAGAATTCCTATCATTGACCCCCGCCACCCAAATCATTTCCTCTAGTGTACATCATTTTGCTACAGCTGAAAACAATGCTTTAGAGGAGGCAAAAAATACTGGTCATAAACAGGACCACCAACCCACAAAGTCATCGTTAACAGTAGATGGGAATGCAAACTTAGGAGCTTGGGTTCAAAGCTCACATACTGGCTTTGTGACCTTGTGGAAGTTTGTTAACCTTTCAGAACCTATTTCTTCTGCTGTAAAGATAAGAATATTCACCTCATAGATTTGCTATGTTGATTAAATGAGATAATAAATAGTTAAAATTAAAAAAAAAAAAAAGCCCTATGGGGCAGTTCTGCCCTATCCTATACGATCACTATGAGTCGGAATTGACTCGATAGCAACAGGTGTGGTTTTCTGTGTGAGTGTGTATATAAAACCAAAATAAAATTAAATTTTTTTTAAAAGTTAGGTGTCCGGCTCTCAACAGCACCCAGGACATGTAACAAGCACTAACTCTGTGCCAATATATATTACATATCATATCTATATAATGTCTGAGTCCCTCAGTGACTCAAATGGTTAAACACTTGGCAGTTCACGTCCCCCCAGAAGCACTTTTGCAAAAAGGCCCAGTGATCTACTTCCAAAAGGTCACAGCCATGAAAACCCTATGGAGCACTGTTCTACTCCGACACATATGGGGGTGCCATCAGTCAGGGTCGATTCTACAGCACCTGGTTACTCGTTTTCAACACTCCTCAGAGATACAATCATTGATGGCTGTAGGCAATGTGTGTGTATGTTTGTACCATAATTTATTTAGCTAGTCCTAAACTGAAGAACACTTATTTATAATTTCTCACTGTTTTTAATAATGCATAATTTGGGTGCGTCTCTGGACCTCCGAACTGTCTCCCAGTGCTGTGTTTTTGAACATTGTCTTAGAAACCAGCTTAGTTTCTCAGTCTGGGTGGGAGCAGGTGGACACCCCTGACTCCAGTTTTCTTCCCACAGGACGAGAGGGAGCGCATTGAAGCACTGGGTGGCTTCGTATCCCACATGGACTGCTGGCGAGTCAACGGGACCCTGGCTGTCTCCAGAGCCATTGGTAAGAGGGCATGGGAGCTGACCTTGGCTCCCCCAAGAGCATAGGACATGAGAGCAATGCGTGCTGGGGAAAGATTTGTGGTAGACTAACTATCTTAGTATCCTGGGGCTGCCATAACAAAGCACAGCAAACGGGGCAGCTGAAAAATAACAGAAATTCATTCTCTCACAGTTCTGGAGGCCGGAAGTCCAAAATCACGGTGTCACAGGGTTGGTTCTCTGGACGCTCTGAGGGAGGATCTGTCCCGTGCCTCTCTCCCAGTTGCCAGTGACTACCAGTACACCTTGGCACTCCTTGGCTTCTGGCTGTATCACTCCAAACTCTGCCTTGTCTTCCCTCTGTGCGTGTTCTCTGTGCTTCTAAGTCTCTCTCCTTATACAGACACTAGTCATGAGATTTAGCGCCCACCCTAATCCAGATGACCTCATCTTAATTTGATTACATCTGCAAAGACCCTATTTCCAAATTAGGTCATGTTCACAGATACCAGGGGTAGGACTTCAGCGTATTGTACTAGGGGACACAATTCAACCCACAACACTAGGGTTATGTTATAAATCAGATTATGAAGGGAAATCTGGCAGGATTTACAGAGTGTGATTGCAAACATCTTAAAAACTTTCATCTTGCACAAGTAATTGTAGTTTGAATTATAAATGATCTCTTCATTAAACACAGACAGAAACCTGCACACCAATGTTCATTGCAGCACTTTTCACGATAGTCGAAAGGTAGAAACAACCCAAGAGTCCATCCACAGATGAGTGGACAAACACAAAGTGGCATGGCCATACACTGGAATATTACTCAGTCATAAAGAGAAATGAAGTCCTGATGCATGCCCCAATATGGATGAACCTTGAAAACATCCTGCTGAGGGAAGTAAGTCAGCAGCAAAAGGACAGATATTGTGTGATCTCACTTATATGAAATACCTAGAACAGGCAAATGCATAGAGACCAAAGCTTATTAGTGGTTACCAGGGGTGGGAAGGAGGGGAAAGGGGGAGTCTGCTTAAGGGACACTGAGTTTCTGTTAATGGTGGTGGAATGATCTGGAAGTGGATAATGGTGATGGTTGCACAACATAATTAACATAACCAATGTCACTGAAAGGTATGTGTAAAAAGTGTTGAATTGGCAAACGTTATATATATTTTTACTATAATAAAATTTTTTTAAAAAGGTTCCCTAGAAAAAATCTAGTAGGAAACCCTTGGCTAGCTACTATATATATTGAGAAATAATTTTTAAATATTGCATAAATCAAGCTCCCCCCAGCCCCATCCTGTTTTCTCCACATCCTGTCACTGTAAGCCTCTCAGCTCGAGGTCCAGCAAGCACACCTAGAGATCACCTTCTTCCTCCATAACCCCCTGGATTTGGCCCTGTCCCTCCCGTACACTAGAGACAGTCTGTCCTCACCATATGCAGTGCCTTCTTCACAACCCTTCTTGCAGCTTCTGCCCTGCGTCTCTGGACACGCTGAAGCGAGTCGGAGGTTGGGAGGAGCTTGGCTCCCAGGCCACACCAAGTTCATTCCATGAATGGGCAGCAAGGGCAGCTTCCCACAAGGGAGTGACGTGGCTAGTGAGAGCTGCCAGCCCCTCTGGGGCTGTCAGAGGCGAGGTGTGCACAGGGGGAGGGAGACCAGCAGGAGCCCTCTGGGCCTGGGTCAGGGCAAGGGCGGTTAGGGTGTGCCCAAGGAAGAGGAGGCGATGAATGGAGGCCCTTGCTGAGGGCTATGTGGGGCCTGAGGGACAGAGAATCAGAGGAAAGGCCTGTGTTTGGCCTGTATGCTTCGTGGGGTGCCATTGTCTGAGTTGGGGAGGCTATGGACAGCAGGTGTTCAAGAGGAGAAGCAAAGGTCCTGGACAGGCTGGGTGGAGGTGTCATTAGGCATTCCAGCGGAGCTGTCTGCTGAGCAGCGGCTAGGCAGCGGGAGCATGGGGGCTGAACTGCAGGCAGTGACTGGAGCACTCAGCTCGAAGGCAAGGGCCACTGTCAGGGTCGTCCTGGGCTCCACACAGTGTCCTCCTTCCTCCCCTTTATTTTTTTCCATTTCACATTTATTTTGGAAATTGAGGAAAAAGAATTGCTGTTCCCACTCATGTCTCGGCAAAGGGTGTGGCCCAGGGCATGGGGAGGAGCCAGACAAAATATGTTACCAGCAGTTTTCATTTCTGAACAGTCAGCTTCTCTCAAGTCCAGAGAGCAGTTATTCCTGAGCTCACCCTGACTGACCCCAGGCCCCGGCTCCACTGGACGTGAGGAGGTCATTTTGTGGAGCTGAAATCTGCATAAGTCTTGTGTCCCTACCAGTTCCTGTTGAGTCAACCCCAACTCATGGTGACCCCGTGTGTGTCAGAGTAGAACTATGCTCCGTAGGGTTTTCAAGTCTGAGTATTTAGAAGCAGATCACCAGGTCTTTCTTCCAAGGCACCTCTTAGTGGACTCAAACCACCAACCTTTGGGTTAGCAGCCGAGTGAATGAACTGTTGCACTGCCCAGGGATTCCCTGTGTCCTCACTTGGCTCTGACTGCTGTCAGGGACACCAGAGAAAGCCTGTCACAGCACCCCATTCTGCTTTCTGCATAGCACTTAACACAACATGAAGCCACCTTTTTCACTTGCAGTCTTTCACTGAACGCTCTGTGAGAACGGTGGTCTGTGCACCCGCAGGGCACCAAGTGGGCGGGGAACAGGGCGGGAAGGAAGCGGTAACATGTCTGGCCCCTGACACCAGGCTCTCTTCTCTCCCATGCCCAGGGGACATTTTCCAGAAGCCCTACGTGTCCGGGGAGGCAGACGCAGCCTCCCGGGAGCTGACCAGCTTGGAGGACTACCTGCTGCTCGCTTGTGACGGCTTCTTTGACTTCGTGCCTCCACAGGAGGTCGCTGGCCTCGTCCAGAGCCACTTGGCCCGGCAGCAGGGCTGCGGGCTTCATGTCGCTGAGGAGCTGGTGGCTGCCGCCCGGGAACGGGGCTCCCGTGACAACATCACCGTCCTGGTGGTCTTCCTCAGGGACCCCCGGGACCTGCTGGAGGACAGGCTCCAGGAGGTGAGGGACTCGCCCTCTGACCTCTTGGAGCCCGAGACCAGCACAGCCCAGAGAAGCTAGGGGGCCTGAGCCTTGCCCCCCGACCCCACCCTGTGACTCTTCCCCTCGGATGCCTTAGGAAAAGAAAGAGTGGGCAGGGAGCCACCATGCAGTGCTTTCCCCGGGACCCCTGCTGCTTGAGGCGCTTCATGCCTGTCCCGGCGGCTGCGGAACTGCATCACATGGCGGGGCACACCCTGCTTGCAGCAGGCATGAAGTGCCCACCAATCTCAGAAGGAAACCCAGGAAGAGACCTCAGCAAAGAGAAGCTGGGTCGGAAGTAAGTGGCCCTGCAATGTGCTCCCAGCTCCCGTCGAGGGGGGCCAGGCATGTGGGGCCCTCCAGGCAGTGTGTCCAACACAGATCTCTCGCATGTGTCCCCGCCGTGGCTGAGGGAGGGCTCTTGTTGGCAGATCTGCCTGGTGGGCTCTGGTTGGCTGTTGGTGCTGGCTTCCCAAAGAGGAGAGGGTGCCCCCACTGGAAAGAGCATGGTGGCTCGCAGCACCCTCGGGCCTCCGGGGCCTCTGGTCCCCATGCCTCCTCTGTGGTCACCCCAGGAACCAGCGACGTGTGTGTGTGCGCACGCGTGTGCGCGCGCTCACTCAGAAGCAGTATTTCAGGTTTTGTCTTTGTGCCAAGGTGACCTGTCGTGTCATATAATTTAACAGCATTTATTTTATTCCTCAGAAAACTCATGTATTTCCTTTTTTTTTTTTTTTTTTTTTACACTGGTTATTTAGGGGAAACTTTTTTGCAGTGTTACTGAATTTTTTTTTTTTCTCTAAATCAGGATCGAAACATATCTTTTTCAGGTGATGTTGATAAGCCACTCAAGTGCCTTAAACAGCTTCCAGTGGTGCTGGGACTGCTGGTCTGGTGGGTTCCAGTCAGCATGGTTAGGTTTTTACAGCAGCAGGATTCCTGTTGTAGTGCGTGTTTTTTTTAGCCAGGATTCTTTACAGCAGAGTTCCTTCTGCCTCTTTGGGATACACCACAATGGTTAGCCGGGAGACCAGATGCCTGCAAGTGCAGTCCTGAGTGGCTGGCAGGAGCATTTGCCCTGTCACAGGAGGCAGGGAGCACGGATGACGGCAGCCCTCCAAACTCTCTTGGCTTTACTGCTCAAGTCCTTGGCTGGATCCCGGGCAGAAGGACCGAGTTCTGTGAGGGGAGCTGCTCTAGTTTTCTCCCACTGCTATTTGACTGTTTTGACTGTAATGTTTCAGAATTTCTTGTATTACTGCAGTTGGTTTCATTGGGAAACATAGCTTAGGACCCTCTGGCGAGCCAGGGTCCAGCCTGTGGGCCTTTGGCTCTGTGTCGTGGTGGCACAGATGCAGCTGGGGGTCCCAGCAGCTCCAGTGGCTTCTGGTTCCCAGTCCTTGTCTGGACCCCCTGGGCTGTAGACCCTCATTTCTCCCTGGGGGCTGGCAGCCCTCCTGCCTTGCTCTGCCCCGTAGCTGACCAGCACAGGACATGCCCTCGGCATTTTTGTAGCTTCTACCTTTTTCATCAGCTGTGAGGAAACTCCACGTCTCCTAGGGCACCCTAGGATCCTACAAGGCCCAGGTGACTCGGGGAGCGCACAGAGCGCAGCGGATAGGACACACATGCAGTAAGCAAGTGGCTGTGTGAGGGCTCCAGGGAGGCATCAGAGGCTACCAGAGGGACAGGTGGCTCTGGGAGAGGATTTGGGCATGGGTAGGGCTGGGATGTGCAGAGAGTAACTTAGCTGATGCTTTGAAAGTGTTGTGGGGAGAGGCTTGAACACCTTTGGAGGCATTTGGAGTGTATTCCCAGACGGTGGGGCCAAGGCCGGCTGTGCAGGGATACTGGTCCCAGCTGTTCCTGAGGTAACCCTGGAGAGGAGACAGCCGAGGTGGGGGCCTTCTCCCAGCTTCCGGGAGGGAGAACAAGGTGTTTGAGAGCCCCTCCTGCCAGGTGAGGGGCATTCACTCCCCGTTCCTGTCAAGCTGATGGAGTGGGACTGACCGCTGAATGCCTTGCTCAAGGGCTCATGATAACAGCACTGTCAGCACAGACCCAGTTAGTTCAGAGAATGCCCGGCCACCAGGACCAGCAAGGCACTGCTTGGCCTAACTTGGCCCCACTGCCTTCTGGGGGCCAGAAGCCAGGGCTCCACGTCCCTTCACAGCATAGGGCTGGACCAGGCGCGGTTGCTGCCCTTGCCTCATGGTGGGGGTGGGCCTTGTTCTCCCTCTGCAGGGACTGGCCTCTCCCATTTCAACCTGGGGGTGGGTGCAAGCCTTCAGGTGTTTTCAGGACCACTTCCTCTTCCTGTAGTTCAGGCCCTGCAGGCCATGGATATCTTTACTGTATAGGCTGATCCGTGGGTGCACTTCTCTAGGCCTCACCTCAGTTTCCCGTTTATAAGTCGTGGAGGTCACAGAGTCTGCAGCAGCTCCACTTCCTGGAGTTCTGGAGGTGCAGAGGCCACTGGGGCAGAGCCTGGGGGCGTCCCCTCCCCAACCCCAAGCAGGGAGGGATGATTAAGTATTATTAGTGTCTGTTCTTAAGGTTAGGTGGGTTGGAGAAGCTACAGATGCCAGCGCCTTATATGGAATACAAAAGCTAGAGAAATTGGGCCCTGTTCTTACAAGTACAGCCAATTCCAGAGAGCGGAGGCTGCAGGGCTGGGAGGTGCAGGCAGCCCCTAAGAGGTGAGGCAAGAATGAGGTCGAAGGACCAGGAGGGGGAGGCCTGTGGGGTGCCTTTGGGGCAGGGCTCCACTGGAAAGCTGTTTTGGTTAAGCTTCCTAACCTCTAGGAGGCTGGAGTCAGATGTAGACCCTGACCCAGCCCTTCCTCACAGCCTAGGACTAGGAAATGAGGACGTCTCAAAGGAGGCAGAATAGTGTAGGGGGGGCTCCCCGAGGCCTTGTCCGCCTTGAAGAGCAGTCTCAAAGCATGTGGCCCCAGTTCTTGCTCCTGGCAGTGCATGGGGTATCCTGGCTACTGGGAGCCGAGTGGAAGCAAATGGGCCTGTGCAGAATCAGCTCTACTTTGGGTTTGATTTGGTCTCTGAAGCCAAAGTAGGGCTGTGGGGGTGGGGGTCCCAGACTTTTCACGGCTCCTCCACAGCACCCTCCTCTTCCCCTCCCCCTGCTCCTAGCTTTGCCAGACATGCCGAGCTTTGCCAGTCTGTGCCCACGGTGGCCGCACTGTGCCATCTTGGTGGGTTTCCTCCAAGCTGTGTTCCCCTGTTCTCAGGGACAGGTTGATCTGCAGGAGATAGGCAGCCACCTCCCAGGGGGCCCACTGTGCTGAGTGTTAATAAACCAAATTCAGAAACGCCGCCACCGAATCCTGCCTTCTCTTAGCTGCATGTGCTGGGCCCTCTGCTCTCCCGGGGTGTATGAAGATGCTAGGCTGCTGGGACCGGCTCACAACAGGGTGCCTTGCACAGGTGCAGCCTGAACTCTGGAGGGTGCCTTTTGCAGGCCTTGATGCAGGAGCCAGCCACCACCCTGGGGCGCAGAGCCCACCAGCCCTTGAGGCAGGAGGGGGCAGCTGGAAAGGGGCAAGGCCCCTGAACACCCAGGGCCCCCTCCAGGCACTTCCCACCGAGGATGGGGACCCTCCCAGCCTCCTCTACAACAACACCTGCAGAGACAGTCCCCCACAAACAAAAGCACAAGCTTGCATCGCTGGCCCCCACCACCGCCATTTGCTTAGCCAGTGTGTTCAGGGCCAACCTGGCTGTCCACATGGGCCGGCAGCCTGGAGCAGGGCCTGGGGAGAGGGCGCTCTCCTCTGACTTGGGGCAGGTGGGGAACTCGGTTCAGATTGGAGCTCAGGAGAGACAGTCCAGAAGCAAATCGGACAAGATGTCACCGATGATCATTTCTGAGGGTGGGATTATGGGTGATTTTTCCCCACTTAGGCTTTTCTTAAATTCAAAATTTCATACAGTGAGCATGTGTAAAGTGCTCTTACAAAAGGCGAAGGGAGATTAGGCTCAGCAGCAGAGGGGAGAGTGATACCTGGCAGTGAGCAGTGGTGGGTAAAGTGGCAGCAGGGTGGCCGGGGCTCTGGTGAGAGGGAGGGAGAGTCCGGGGCCTTGGAGAGGGTGGCCTGCCTTCTACCTGGCCAGGCCTCCCACTCCAGCTAAAAGGGCCTAGGTGCAGGTCCTTTGTGTCCCCAGTTGGCCAGACGGGTGGTGCTCACAGCAGCTAGCCAGCCACTGGACAGTGCCTCAGGCTATCACATCAGCTGGGCTTTAAGGGAGTTCCCCCCAGGGCCCACCCACCTGCCTGTGGTCCCCAACCAATGACCTGCAGACCCAGGCCCCTTCCTCAGTGCATGCTGTGAGTGGGGCTCTTGAACCGCCCCCGAGCCTCTAGGTGCCGTGGAAGGTGTGGACGCTTTGGCATCTCTTCCAACGACTGCGGAGGCTGCCAGTCCTCCAGCAAACTCCGGGCACTGGGACTGGAGGTGACAAAGGCAGCAGCACCCAAAGCAGGTGAACAAGCTCGACAACTCCACAACAAGGTGGGAGTAAGAACGTGGGACATAGCACCCTGGGACTGCAGGCCCCCTGCTGTCCCTAGTCACAGGCCTAGGCTGGAAAGTAGCGCCTGTCCAAGCTGCAACCCCCAGCATCTGCCTTCTGGTCTTCTGTCCCTGGGCTCCTGTCTGGAGCAGAGGTGGGAGACCCTCGCTGACCGCCGTGCTGCAGGGGACACGGAAAACATCAGAAAGGCCTGTGAGCCCCATGCCGCTATCTACTCCCACTTGTGGGCCCGGGCTCGTCTGCTCAACTCCTCTCAGCCTCCCCCCTCCCCTGCCCCTAGGCCAAGCAAGGTAACCGGAAATAGGCGTCACGTGAAATTGCCCCATTGAGGGCACTGCCCGGGCCGGTCCTTTGCCCTTGATCGCGCTGCCTCCCATTTCTTTGAAGGGGCACAGGCTCGGGAAAGTGTGGGGCTCACTCTGGGCCTGTTACATCCACGTCCATCTGTCTGCCCTCCCCTGGCATCCCCCTTCCTCGCCTCCCCAGAAGCTCCTAGCAGTCTGCCCAGGACACCTCCTTTTTAAGTATA